GTGAGTCTGCAGGCCCTACAGCCAGGGAGACTGGCTAGTGTGCTCACAAGACTTTTTTTCATTCTGTCACCTTTAATAATAATAATAATAATAATTAATAATTAATAATGAATAAAAGTGTTCCACTCTCTGGTTAAGCTCTGTCACTGCCTCCCTAGTCAGCCTCTTTCCTGAGGCTTAAGCGAAGGAGGCAGGTATATAATCTGGGAAACTTTCCTGGTGCATCTCTAACACAGGAGCGATCCATGCAACTGAGGATCTGAGGCTGTTCTCATTAAAGTCAATGGGAAAACACCCACTGAGCTCAATGGGAGCAGGAGCGCGATCTATGGCAACACCACCTGTTGCAATGAAGATGCATACTTCTCATGTCCAAGACTAAGCAGACTTAGTGTCAGGAAGCAGCACTGCTAATGAGAGGAGCTGTGAGATCCTGTCCTGAGCAATAACCAAGGGGCTTGACCTTATTTTCACTTGTGATTTAAACCAGAAGCCCCAGAAGGCTAACTGTACTAAATCACTGTGCCACTAGCCTTTCTATTTGTTTACATCTCAAGGGTAGACTGGTGAAAGAGCTGGAAAGGGGTCTTAAATGTTTGGTATCATGACCAGTTTCTCAGGATGGCAGCCAGTCATGGAGATGTGCAAAACCATCAGTAATTGGGCTCTGCCAAATTTGTGTCTCAAACCTGAAATAGGACATTCTAGCTCAGTGTAAAGCTTGTTACTCAGATATTAACACATCTTATTGGCCTAGGGAATCCCACTATTTCTATAAGATCAGGAGACCTTGCTTCTATCCATCATGAAGAAGTGTTTCAGCCAGTGAGTGAATTTTATTTTAAGCTGGCAAAAGTAGAAGAGGGCCTTTTGCTGAGACAAAAAGCTAGTTTGTAGCCACCAAAAATCTTAGACAGTGGAGAAGGTAGAAAAATTCAGGGCGTGTGTGCTTACTGTGTTGCTTGGGACTACTTATTTAATCCTGCCCCGCAATATCCACTCCCACATTATTTGTTTCTTGCTGCTTTATCCCACTGTTACTTGCAAAAACCTTAGATCCCACAAATCCCACAGGAGACCGATTCCTCCATGCTACTAGAACAAACATGGTCAGTTGATACATTTTATATAAAAGAATTCAGACACAATTTTTACCACTAAAAGAATAAAACAAATCTTGCTTAAACCATGTAAAAAAAATACTTGAACTCTGCTTACAATAGACATCAAATCTTTCTATCCCTTGCTTAAATTTAAGTATTAAAACCTTTTATTTTAAAAAAAAAAAAAAAACTTGCTTTACATTTTTAAAATTCTATTTATGATAAACTGATTTCCCACAAATTACCTCAGTGTTTTTTGCCTACCCAATCCCGCCTGCAGCAAAGTACATTTTATCCACTCCTGTTGTTATGGTGGCAGTCCTATTGTGAAGGTGCTCTTCTTCCTCTTTACCAGACAAGCCAGGGACTACTGAGAATATTTTCCCCACCTCCAGCACCTACCATTGACATTTGGCTTTTACTCAGAAGGTATTGTGATAGCTAGTTCCCAAGGGACATAATTAACAGCAGCAGCACAGGTGGCATTGTGACATGCTTTACTAAATCTGGTCTGGTTGGCAAGCCAGAAATTTGTACAGCCTGTCAACTGCACTGCAGTGGCTTTAGCCTACTTTATCTTGGTAAATTTGGTAGGGGCGGGTATAGCAGATAAAACTTCATCAAGGAGTGGCAGGAAGTGTGAGCTGTACTGCATAGATCAAACTCCCTAAAATCAAGTCTTATAGGATTGATCTGTAATTTAAGGAAATCTGACTGCTATCCATGTAGACTGTGATGTTGTAGTGAAATCAGCTAGGTGATCAGTATTACAAATTAACTGAACAGTCAGTCAAGTAGTAGCCATGTTGGTCCCAGGATATTAGAGACAAGGTGGGTGCAGTAATATCTTTTATTGGACCAACTTCTGCTAGTGAAAGAGCAAGCTACACAAAGCTCTTCTTCAGGTCTGGGAAAGATACTCAGTGTCACAGCTAAATAGGAGGTGGAACAAATTGTTTAGCATAAGTAGTTAACACATTCTAAGAGACCATCAAGGTGAAGTGGCCTGTTAGCAACCTCAGCCTCAAACTGAAGTAGGTAAAGCAAGACGGAGGTGAGTTAGGAGCGTTGTGTAGTGGGAACTAGCATGTTGTTTGGTGCTGCTATTCCTGCCTCAAGCCTGTGCTCTCAGGCCCTCACTTTCATGGGCACTAAAATTATTTGTGAATCTGTAGAACAAACTTTTGTGATGGCTCAACAATGTTAATTCCTGCATATATTAAAAATAAAGCTAAATACTGGTCTGAATACAGACCTGAAGTGAGTAACCAGCTGATCTTATAGTAACCCTTGTTCTTCTTCAACCATACCATCCTTGTTGTTACTCTCACTCCGTCATATATAGCACCTAGGCCCCAATGTCGTAAGGCATCCTGTTAAAGTTAGTGATACTTGGTGTGGGGTTTTCTTGTAGCCCACTGTTTAGGGCAGAGAACTTCTCTTCACATCAGTTCTGAATGATGTCCAGCACACTTTCCAGTGCTTTCAAAATAACAGATCTAACACTGTGTTCCCCTAAAATAGACGTGACCATCCCTCTCTACACTGTACTGCCACAGAGAAGAAACAGCCATAAAAAGCACAGCACTTCGCTTTAGAGCCGGTTGGGAAATTAAAAATACACGAACTTTTAACACAAAATGGTAATATTTTAGCAAAACTTCTTGTGGACTTTTCTGTTTGTACCAAAATCAAACTATTCTTCTTGGAGGTGGATGAAGAATCTAAGCCTCTCCAGAGTTTGGTTTTTTTTTTTAAACTCTTTGCTTCTCATTATCTTCAAATGTGGAAAAATAAATCCCAGTGGGGGATAAAACAAATTGCTTTGTGGCTAAACTAGCCAGTTAAATGAGTAAGAATAGATTCCCCGAGAGAGGTCACATTTCAGTAAATCAGAAGAATCCTTGATTCTCATAGGTAAGCAGTGAGGAGAGATTTCAGAATGACAGGTTAGTGAGTATCCCTCATTTACTAGGTGAAGGTGGGACTTCATCGGAATAATTAGCATTGGATTTGGAAAAATCCCACCTTAACTAACATGATCATTAAGAAATGAGTTTGCCATCATTTGAGCCAAACACAGTGGTGAGCCAATGCTGCAGGAATCTCAGCACAGCCTAGCCCAGAAATGAGTGCAGGATCTATGTCCAAAGGGGAACAGAGTGTCAATTGCCAATATGCTAACTGGTAAACAAAATAAATTAAGGAAACCTGATCAGCTAGGCAGCTACTGTGATTTCAAGATTAGTCATGTGTTGGTGTTCCTGGGCTTGGAGTGAAGACTGGCTCTTTGCATTCCATACTGAGCGGATGTTCTAGAATACTATCAAAATTCCTCTTGGAAGTGCAGACAGACTGTGTTTGTCATTTTAAACATTATCTCATTAAATGATAAACTCTCTTAACCTGGTTACAGTACAGTAGCTGCCTGACAAAAGTAGCATGAAAAATTAATGTCACCAGCAGTTCAGGGGCGAAAAATAAGGGGAAATGGCTTATATTGTGATATGGTTTGGGGTCTGAACTTCCTTAGGTCAGCCATGGGTTAAGGCCTTCAGTATCTGTTTTCAGTTCTGTTTGGTTTGGCAGAGTGGTGTCAGTAGCAGACTTGTAAGACACTTCTTTAGTTAGCTAAACACATGCAATGTTTATCAAGCAGCAAAACAACTAAAATATGATTTGCATCTTAAACCCCCGTTTAAGAATCACTTTACCCTGGGAGAAATGTTAGACAAGAGATCATTCCTTATCCTAAGTAGCAAAAATGGAAAGGCTTAAATAGAAAGTCTTATGCAGGTAACAAGAAGAGGTCAGTGAAAGGGAAGCTAGGGGTGGGTGTTGGTGCACATACAATAAACAGTAAGATGAAAGGGGTGTGGGGCTCTGGGAAGAGAACAGGCTGTACTTTGCTGAGTGGAGGATCCAAAAAAGAACGATCGCAATGTAATACATATAGTCACCTGTATGAGACTTTAAAGACTGGTGCTCAGATACCAGTGACACATGGGATACATGCTGAGCGCCAGACAGATCTCTAAAACCCCAGAACTGAACAGCTCAAGTGAGTTGAAGATAATCCAAAATTAGTGACAGCTGAATTAGGATATTCAGGAATAGTTCAATGGAAAATATTGTGGTTTGTTATTTATTGGGAGATACCAGTGCAGCCTATCCCAGCACAGCCATGGCTGAATGTGTGTAGGGAAAAGAGTAGTGCAATGCCATTTTCTTCCAGTTAAGGTCAGTATTAAAGTGTGTATTGAGAAGGTGCTGAATGCTTCTGAATGGAGAAATCCAGGACTAGGCTTCTTTAACTTCCACACCGTAGCCTGCTCACTGGTTTCCATTTACCTTCTTGCCCTGGCAGAGAAACTGCTCTGATCAATTAGAATTTTTCCCAAAAGAGAGACTTTTTCTAGCCCATGGCTAGTGGGACTAGGCCATTCCTCCGCATTCAGTGTTGCACAGATGGGCTTGCAAAGTCTTTTTCTCAGCTGGAAATACAACCTGAAGAGTTTGGGTTTAAGCTTTGTGGCTAGATGCAAACCCTAAACTTCAGGTTCACTCACCCCCTCCCCCATCAAAATCCTTTTTTCATGAGATCCTACAGTCGGAATGAATGTGTTTTTTATTTGATGCATTCATTTCCTCTCATTGTCATCACCCTGGAACAAGTAACTTCTGATCAGTTAATGACCTGTGCTACTAACAGCGACTCTGTTAACTCTGATAAACTCTTGCATAATTTGGTCACGTCTTACAAAAGTTGTTCTCCTTCCCGGCTGTATTTGTGAATTCCTGTTGGTGGAACCATGTTCCAATCAGAATTGAAATTGCAGCAAGATTTTAAGAAAGTCCAGATGATTAAAATTAGAAAGCATTCCTTTGTTGATTGGTGAGGAAAGTAGGCAGGGGGGAAAAACAAGACCTACCAGGTAAATCTTTATCCTATATGTTCTGTGGCATGAATATAGAATGTGTATTTAATATTTACATTCTTAATCACCTCTTTAGAGGCCAACTCATACGGATAAACAGTGTAGGATGGTATTTCCAAAAAGACTGTAGTCTTTGTTTCATGGTGGAAAGATGTCACTTATTATTAGTCTGTTGTGACAACTTGGGGACTTTCCCTTATGTTGGATGTGAGCTTATGTGAGTTTTACTGTTTTGCATGAATACTGTGTATGCCTCAGTTTCTCTGTGTGCTGCATCAATGTCTAGGCGGTGGGAATAAGGGTGTGTGACTTTAGCTGAGACCTTCAGAGGCAGGTGAGGCTGCTCCAGCTGCCTGCACATAGGCTATGGCCAGTGCCCTTCATAACCTGAGACCCAGGATGGGGATGTGAGCAGGTGATGACCAGGTGACACTTTGCCTGGGAGGCAAGACAAAGACCAGGAGGAGGAGCAACGGGGAATGTCTGAGGTTGGGTTGCTTGAAGCTGGGCAGTCTGACTGGGCATCTGGCCCAGGATTTCCCCAAGATGGACTTGGCTGAAAGTCGCTGATTTCTGTGCTAACAAGTTCTGTTCTATGCTATGTTCCTGTCGACTAATAAACCTTCCGTTTTATGCTGGTTGAGAGTCACTGCTGACTGCGGAGTTGGGGTCCAGGGCCCTCCGGCTTCCCCAGGAGCCCCGCACGGGCAGACTTGCTGTGGGAAGCACATGGTGTGGAAAGGGATGCTGAATGCTCCGAGGTCAGATCCAGGAAGGTCGAATCTGTGTAAGCTTCTTGCCCTGGTGACAGTATGCTCAGAGAGAGGAGGCATGCTACCCCAGAGTCCTGACTGGCTTCATACGGAGTAGTTCCAGAGCATTGGCCCGCTGCCTCCGTGACAACTGTATTCCCAGATAATGTTGAATAGCATTTGAAAGGAAGGGGAACATCAAGAGGATAGTTCTTGTGACTAGATCATAAATACATATTTGTCTTGTCGTTTTTTTTTTTCTGGCATACTGAAGCTTGTAGTTCATATCTTTCCTGACAAGAAAATTCCTGCAGAACAAGCTTTTACTGAAATTGGATGTTACTGTGACATCTATAACCAAGTGATACAAAACTGGGTATGAATGCTCTCCTGTGTTTTGTAGATGTTCCAAACAGACTGAATCAAGTTGCTGCTTTGTTCCAGTCAGAATGATCATTCTTAATATAGTATTGAAAGAGATCAGAATGAACTAATTTTTGTGAATTCGTAACCCCTTGAGAGACTGTAGAAATGTGTCCTAACTGTTCCTGTCACTAGCAGCTTAGAAAATGCCAGCACTAAACGTATAAAACTTGAGAATCAGTTTACTGAAGCAGATGTGTGGAATGAAAGTCATGATGACATGCAGATCAAAAGCTGAGAGGGGTTTCGGGCACTAATACTCCTTCGAGTTTTGTAAAGAGTCAAATTCAATGTTCACAGTGTGTTAAAAGCATGCTGGAATTCATGGTGATTTTTCTCTCTTCCTGTACACCCTGGTCTTCTATGTACTATAGAGAGTCGGGTATTTTCCTGTAGATATCTATTCTGTTAAAACTTGAAAATAATTTTGAAGGTGATCCTCCTGATACAATGTTTGAGTAAGGGCAGGTTTCATGCACAAGGATCAAGTACTTCACACATGGCTAAAAATACAGCCGCCACTTCTACCTCTGGGGTGGAACACAAGTTGCTTAACAAGGGCCCAGCAATACTATGAAGCAATTCAGAGGATGTAGTATTTCTTTCTTCCACTTAAAGTTAAAATGACTTTAAGATAAAGAGAATTATCTAATGTAATTACTTGAGTTAAAATTTTGGTCCAGATGCTCCTACTCATTAAAAAAAAAAATCTCATTGTACTTTTTATAAGTGGTCAAAACCTCCTTGCATATCTGAAACGTGTGGCAAGATTACCTCTGAAATGGGGGGGGGGGTGTTTGAAGCTGAGATGGTGTGTGTGTGTGTGTGTGTGTGTGTGTGTGTGGTTTTTTTATGAAACAAGTAAATGCACTTGGTGTGTTTTGTAGACAGGGCTAATATACTGCATGTCTTGTGAAAGGATGACTATTCTCTGAGCTCAACTAAATCTCCTTATCCCAGTCATACAACAAGATGTGAACTTGAGTTCAGTGCTTTGATATGCCTTTTGGTGAAATTCTTCTTGCATGATAACTGCACTTCTGACAGCAAGACTTGCTTTCTTCCACTCATGTTATCCAGACCTTCTCCAAAGCTCAAGTCCAGAGTCAAGGTTTGCCAAAAATCAGTAGAAACTGGAAACAAAAGCAGAAATAGCATTTTATTCTGATTTGTTTTCCTGCACAGTTTCTGGTTTAAAAACTAAAATAGCATCACAACAGCTATATAAATAGCCTCTCACAACATCCTTTCAATGCCAGTTCCAAATCTTTTGTGCATCTTTTTTTTGAGACAGAGTAGAAAAATATCAAGAACCCATCATAAAGGCCAACACAATAATACCAAACATGAGATTTGCATTACAATTCCCATATCTGATAAACCTTCACATAAGTTTAGTGATCTTCAGCCAAATTTATTTCTCTAGTCTAATTCAAGTTCCAGAACTGCTTAAAACATTTTAATCTCACCTTAACTTTATTTTTTAAAAATATTTTGGCCCAATATAAAATAAATCATGCACAGAGTGAGAAATGAGTTCTTGGAAATGTGTAATGTTGGTTCAGGACTTTTGAAATGTAAGTGCTATAGAAATTATAAAGAATATCCTACTTGTCAACTTGCTAGTGTTCAATATGTTCACTGGGCACATCATTAAAAATTGAAGGGTAAGAAACCTAATGCAATCTGTAAATCAGAACAGAATATCTGTATCCCAGTCATGGGAAATACCTTTTATTCTACAAGTATTTTCCAAGGTAATAAGTCAAAAATGAATAGTGCAGGGAAATGGAGAGGCCGTTTGCTCAGCTGTAGCCCTGGCACAGTCTCCGTCTGTTTTTGAGAGGAGAACGCTAGCCAAGACAGCATTGTTATCTCCATATCATTCCAAAAGTGCAGTGTCTCCAGCATGACAACTCCATTGTATCTAATAATCTTTGCATCATTACGTCCAGAACGCTTTCCTTGGTGTGTGGAGACATCTGCTGTCCAGATTTAAAAAGGTTGTTCCTCATCTGCTTGTACGAGGCTTAAAAAAAGTCATCTTACTCAATGCAGCAGATGCAAGTTAATTTTTATTTCCTTGGAAAAACTAAGGTCAGATGCAGCACCTGTTTTTAGGAAGATCCTTTTTTTTATTTTTTTAAAGTAGTCCCAGCTGTTGTAGCTTGAGCAGCTCACCTGATCTTGTATCTAAACGAAACCAACTCAACTGGAAACAGTTAAGCTGACTCAGGCACAGTGATAGTGGCTTGTTTAAATTAATCTTTAGTGGCTCATCTGGGTTTAGAAACCAGGTTTGTCTAGCTTCTAGGCAATTGTGTTAAGTTCTAGAGAACCCTATGTGGAAAACTGAGCGCTTTTTTTTTCCCCTTTCTATCTGATCTTTGTTGTCCAGAAAAATTAATCCGTTATTGAAGCTCAGATCTTCATTCTAACTGTCAAATCGTGAGTAGGCTCTGAGTTTACAGTAATGGGAAGCTAATTGTCACTGTGCTGATAAGCCCACGTCAGGATTGAATTTCCCACTGGTTAGAAAAATGCAGTGTTTTTAAACTCCAGTTTGAGGATCTTCCTACTAGTCTATTTTGATGACTGTTCCAACTGTAGGGCAGCTTGCCTTACTGCAGCCTATTCAGGTACAAACAACCTAGGTGAATATTTCATACCTGAGGACTGTCTGTCAATCAGATATAAATATGCATCCTTTACCTTCTACATGATTGTCCTCATTCTTCTCTTGCTAATTACCAAAGCTGGGTTTGTGCTGAAATTAAGGCTGCTTCCGTCTGCTTCACTGTAGGATCAGTTAGCAAATTTTAATGCTGAATTGGCAGCATTGCTGCCATCTGTATCTATCTTGGGTACTTTCGGCTCCCGTTACACTATCCTACCTGAGCACCACCAGTCTTTATTGAAATTCTCTTCACAATAATGCTGAGACAGGACAGTGCTGTTAGCTCCATTGTGCAGATGGAGAACTGCGGCACACATAGTGGGAGATTTGCCCAAGGTCACGTTGGGAGACTTGAACTCAGATCTCTTGCATCCCAGGCTAATGCCTTAGCCACTGGACCATGGCTACAGAGTGGGATGTCAAAACACAGGGTTCTGACAGCACCAAGCAGGCTATTCGGCTGGGAAGGAAGGAAGTCTTTATTAAGTCATTAATTGCTGAAATAATAAAAGGGTCCAGAGCTTTCAAAAGAGGTGGATTTTTTTTTGTTTGTTCCAGTGTGAAAGCTCCCCCTTCAGAAAAAGGAAAGGATCACACATGTATAACTGAGCTACTTTCTTTGCATTGTAGAAAGAAGAGGTGGGTGATAACCACAGCCAGCTGAACATGGAAGGGGCTCTGATTGCCCGGGACAGAGTTGGGGTACAGGACTTCGTTCTTTTGGATTCCCACACCAGTGAGGCTGCTTTCTTGGACAACCTTCGCAAGCGATACAGAGAGAACCTCATCTACGTAAATCTGCATGCTTTTATGACTTCATCTTTCATGGCAATGCTGGTACTTGTGTCTAGACGATAGTGTGAACTAACATGTAATTGTGGGAAGGTGACATGCCTCAGACTACAACCTGCTTACAAGTCAGGTCTAAGAATAAGGCCAAACGGGGCATCTCTGTGGAACTATTGTATTGGGATGATCAGAATTCCAGGTGGACTTAACTTCTCTTGTCACTGCAGTGTTGACTTGTTGGTACAGAGTGAATTATCTCTCCAAGAATATGGCTTTCTAATGCTTGTGGTCTGCTATACAGGGAGGGGTTGAAAGATGTTTGCAGTATCTGGCAGGCTGACTGCCCCATTTGCCCTTTAGATAAAAAAACCAAAACGTGTAACTTCTGTGGATGGTATGGTTTATGTTCAAGGTGTCCGAGTGGTGTGTAATAAATAACAAAGGAACACGAAAAGCCAAGCCAGCACAAAGAATGCTCTGAACTGCAGGATGAAAATTTGCTAGTTCTTAATGGCCTTGTTTTTTCAAAGGTGCTGAGCACCCACAATGCAATGTTTTTGCTGTGCGGAACTTAAATGGTAGAGAATCTTACCAAACCTCTCTTCTGTTAGATGAAGCTCAATATTTTGATGAGGCAAGTGGGGGGGGAAAAATGAAAGGACTTGGTGGAATGTGGAGTGTCAGTTGTTACTAGGTTCTAAAGTGTTGTGTAACTTTGGCTCACTGAAATATTCTAAAATTAAGGCAACAAGGAGTCTGGTGGCACCTTAAAGACTAACAGACTTATTTGGGCATAAGCTTTCGTGGGTAAAAACCTCATCTGAAGAAGTGAGGTTTTTACCCACGAAAGCTTATGCCCAAATAAGTCTGGTGGCACCTTAAAGACTAACAGACTCCTTGTTGTTTTTGTAGATACAGACTAACACGGCTACCCTCTGATACTTAAAATTAAGGCAATTAGACTTGCATCTTGAAACCTGAGATTTGTTCATCTGCAGGGCTCAGGAAGGAATTATTTCTTTCCATATACAGTCTTATGAAAGAATTGGACCAACTTTGGTTGGGGAAATGTACAGGCTTTTGAGCTACATAGAGCTCTTCTTCGGGTCTGGGGAAGGAAGCAGAGTAGAAAGAAGAGCTCTGTGTAGCCTGCAAGCTTGTACCTTCCACCAACAGAAGTTGGTCCAACAAAAGATATTACCTCACCCACCTTGACGCTTTCATATCCTGGGACCAACACAGCTACTACACTGCAGACATGCACAGTTTTAAGTAACCACCAGATGGCTTATGAATTTAGCTTTCCTATGAAACATCAGCATCACATCTGGAGAATAACAGACTTTCAATGATTTAACAAAACAGTGTTAGTTATGGGCAAATATGTTCCTATGTTAACTGGGATATAAATATGAACCAAATCCCAGAAGCATCAAGGGACAGAAGTATCAAAAGTCTCAATTATTAAGACAATTAAAGGACTAAACCAATGTAATTACCAGCCAACCTTTAAATAAGGGTTTAAGTGTATGGGGTGTTAGAAATGGAACACAGAAATACTGAAGTCTTTGAAATCTTCATTACAGAAAAGTTCCACATTTTCTATCTTGTCAGTTTTCACATGGTATGCTTGAGGTTGCCCTTCAGGAGAAGTCATTCCGTTTGTCTACGCTCTGTTCTTCCCTGTAGACCTATATTGGTACCCTTCTAGTATCTGTGAATCCCTACAAAGAGTTGGATTTCTACTCAGTTAAACAGATGGAGATTTATCAAGGGGTCAACTTTTTTGAACTGCCACCACATATGTAAGTAGCACTAAATTCCCCTGCTTTCAGTTCACATAAACACTTTTTGACTTTCATAAGGTCAGGTCTAGCACTGTTTCTGTTGTGGTTTTTAATATTACAAACACTTTCAAACGTAATTGGTGGGAGAGGGGGAACTTTTCATAATAGCAATCTTAGCAGGTAACTTGATACACTTGCGGGGTTATTTATCAAATAACTTCAATTAGACAATATCATAAGACTGGAAGGGACCTTGAGAGGTCATCTAGTCCAGTCCCCTGCCTCATGGCAGGACTGAGTATTATCTAGTCTAGTATATGTCTCTGCAGAGTTGGCATTTGGATGTCAGAACTTGGAAGGAGGGTAATTTCAACTTAATATTGACACAGCTTTGAAAATTCAAATGTTTTGTGAATGTTAATCACTCTTCACAACTTCCCTGTGAGGGCATGTAAGTATTTATCTCCATTTTAAAGAGGGCGAAATTGAGGGGCCAATTTGTTGAAAGCTACAGGCAGGGGCGGCTCCAGGCACCAGTGCACCAAGCGCGTCCCTGGGGCGGCAAGCCGTGGGGGGCAGCCTGCCGGTCGCTCTGGGGGTGGCAATCAGGGAGCCTTCGGCGGCATGCCTGCGGGAGGTCCACCGGTCCCGCCGCCGAAGCCGTGGGACCAGCGGACCTCCTGCAGGCCTGCCACCGAATCTGCGTTACCAGCTGAACCTCCCGCAGGTGCGCCGCTGAAAGCCTCCTGACTGCCATGCTTGGGGTGGCAAAATACATAGAGCCACCCCTGGCCAGAGGGAAGAATGTGTGTCAGACAGGGCTAGAATTAAGGAATTTTTCTAGTAAGTCAGAGCTCAGTGCATGCCTTCCTCATGATGCCTTACCTGATGATGGGATGTCAGACCATCAGGGTTCAGCCAGGATGTGCCCTTGCATAATTCCAGGACTGAGTATATCCTTTCGTCAGTTTCTGAAACATTCCCTTTCACAGTCTCTGACCTTCCTCCTGGCTCCGTGGGCTCCACCTATTCTCAGTGCTCATAATTCTGCCTCCAGCCAGTTCTGGGAGCAGGAAGTGGGTTGAGGTCAAATTTCAAAGCTGGATGTTGATTTTTGGATTTTCTTCCCAAATGTGGGGGGGAGGAAAGTGGGAAAGTGGTTGCACTAATTGTTACCTTTTAAAATATCTTCATGGGGAGAAGTTGGGGCTCACCAGCAGGCTGCTTTTAAAAAAAAATAAATGAAAATTTGAGGTTGGTCAGTCTCTGCCTTTGGGTCACGGACCTGCAGTGTGCTAACCTGTGTCCATAGCAGCATGCACAGTCCAAATGGGTTCTGTTGATAAAGCTCTTTTCCTCCATGTGCCAATCTCTCAATTTGAATTAATGTTTCCACTCTGAAGTTGTGAATCTGCAAATTTTCTGCTGGGAACATTGCTTGCCTGTCCAGTCCAAGGTCTGTAAATTTTAGCTGTCTCCAGTGTTAAGGAGCCTATGGAACATTTACTCCTGTCAGAGCTTTCTGCCATCCTTTTGTATGGCTGTTTCATATTGAGTAATTCTTAAAGCTGATTATTTTTATTTATTTATTTATTTTTTTTTGGTGTGTGTGACTCTTATTCAGATATGCCATAGCGGACAATGCCTACCGGGTAATGTGTGCTGAATACAATAACCACTTCATCCTCATCTCTGGGGAGAGTGGCGCTGGGAAAACAGAAGCCTCCAAGAAGATATTGCAGTACTTTGCAGTGACCTGCCCGACTACGGAACAGCTGCAAATAGTCCGTGATCGCTTGCTGCTCTCCAATCCAGTTCTGGAGGTAAAACAAAAAAATAATAAACCCCTAAAGGGGTACCATGCAGAGGAGATTGGCTGCAAGATTTCTCTGTATATAGAACTGAAATGTTTTGAATGTATGGAAGGAGAGGAGATCTAATCAGGAGAATGGCCTCCCGTTTGCAGGGATACTTGATCTCTGGTTGCATTCTAATGAAAGTAATTTCAGCCCCTTTGCAAGCACGTCCTTTCTGACTTGGAAAATGTGAAGGAATTGATGTAGGCCAATTCGTTGTCCAGGGATTTAAATTTTTTCCCACTTGTAGTTTTCAGCTTACAGTATTTCTTCATCTATAATCAAAACACCTAGTCTCCCGCTCAATATAAATGCTGTGTGAAGAGGGGATTTTTGTCAGTAGTGCTCCATAAGGAAAGGAGAAAATATTTGGAGACCATTTAATAAATGCTGAACCATATCAATGAATGAACAAGCCTCTCAGAGCATGTCACCTATCCCTCTAGTTGCCTAATGTGCAGGAAGGTAACTGTGGATACTACTATTCAGGGCAGGTTTTCAGAGCTCTCCCAAAAATGAGATGAGCGGAGAGCTGGATATAGATTCATGTGGTGGGAGCACACATTCCGTGAACTTTAGATGACACATGCTCATCTAATCAGAAATTTTAGGAAAGCTTGTCTAAGTCTTCGTGACTAAACAATGGCAGTAAGTAAATGTGAGCCATTGATACTTAACCCTACATGAAGAACCAACTGAAGAGAATCAGAGAACTGAATGTATGTTGAGTGTAACTAATGGTGTGTCTGGGCAGATGGATTCTACTCTTATGGAATGCTCTGTGTCAGCAGGGGGTGGGGAAGGAGGGAAGCAAATATGTCCAGTCTCAGGTAAATACAAACCTAATTTTTCAGAGTTTCATGGGATTTAGCTGCCCATTGACTTACCAAGCGTGAAAAGAGAGGGGAAAGTGCATAGGCTATCTAAAGCTGTACATTCTGATGTTTCTCCCTCAGTTCCTCATGACCCCAGTTCTAGACGCAGAGCTCTCAGCAGCAAGAGGAGTGACTTGGTTTTGCTTGTTTCTCTGCAGGCTTTTGGAAACGCAAAAACTCTGCGTAATGACAACTCAAGTAGATTTGGAAAATACATGGATATCCAATTTGATTTTAAGGTAAAAACAAATGTGTTGGCGCATTCCCAAAACAAGCATAACTATGTACCTATCTGGCACCAGCATGGAATACTTAGTCAGTAAACCTTATACTGCCCTGCAAAATTATTTACCTCGCAGGCTACCTTCTGACCTCATTTTTATAGCTCTTGCGTTTTTTGACTGAGGTGTCTGAAGTCTTGTATCTTGGAAGTTTCCAGCATTATTGGCAACACAGCCAACTGCCCAGTGGAAAAGGCAATATTTCACTACAGGGCAGGAGCTAGTTGAAAAGACCGTTACTCCTCAGACAGTACGTGTCTACTTGTAAGTGATATTTTAATAGAGAAACTAATGAAGTGTAAGAAGAGCAGATAGGCTTCTGGTGTCATCGTTACTTGTCACAGTATGTGTGTGTGTTAATAAGAATACAGCAGTCACAACACTTCTGCTGGCTTCCTGTCACTTGGGCTGTTGGGTGTTGAAGGCTTAGCAGTTTAAGCTCATGTGGCTTTTTGTTTTGTTCCCCTCCCACTCCTCCCCAGGGAGCTCCAGTAGGAGGGCATATCCTCAGTTACCTGATTGAGAAATCCCGAGTCGTTCATCAAAACAATGGGGAACGGAATTTCCATATCTTCTACCAGATGCTGGAGTGCGGGGAAGATGACCTGCTTCGCTGGCTAGGACTGGAGCGCAACCCGCAGAAGTACATGTATCTTATACAGGTTGGGATAACTAGGCCCCCAGCATGGAACGACCTGTGGGGTTCCATAGGCTGCATTTGGCAGCATAGATCTGCAGTACCTGTTACCTTGTTCTGTAAAGGTTATGTATTATGATCACCTATGACTTGATGGGTTTTCTTCACCATTCATGTACTCCATTATGGTAGAAGTCATGACTATATCTAATGATTTTCTAAGTGATTATAATACTGTAGAACAGCTGTCGGTGTATGGTTTTCTACCCTTGTTTCACCTTTTGACACTGATTTGCCCTGGGTCCAGAGCTGCAGCAATATGAGAAAAAAAGGAAGTTGAGACACTAACTTCTGCAGTATTAATGGATAAAGCACATTAGAATGAGACAACACTATGGCTTGCCCAAATTCTGCTCTTAGGCTGTGAAATCACTAGAAGCTGCATGAGAGTACCAGACTAAAACTTGGTCCTGAATTAGTTTCTACCCTCTAGTTATGAATCCAACCTATCCTTGCCTCTCCTCCATTAATTTAGAGATGGATTTCACAATGAAGCAAACTGAAACGAGAAATCTTATTCCATAAGGAATTTAACAATACAATCACTTTGTATTCTCCGTGCTCTTAGTGAGGATATTTGTGCATGGGTAACAGCTTATTCCACTTCAGAGCTTTTGCCCAGTCCATGACAGTGAAGTTCTTAATCTGTCTGTGATAGACTGTGATAAACATTAAACTGTTGCCAGGCAAATGAGTGCTATATCGTAGAGGAAGCATTGTGACTTAATGGCAGATGTCACTAGGTGGAAGAGCTGGCTGGTGGTGTATAAAAATACCCCTTTGGTTCACTGGAAAGCATGGCCTAAACTATTAACTAGTAAAATGATTATTATCTGCAAGTTACACTTGGTGTAAAGGTCTCTCTTTAAGGCTTTCTTTATTAATTTGGCGTAAAATAAGTAAGCTTGAGGACTTAAGCAGCTGTTATATATAATATGAAGAAAAGTGTTCCCTACGCTTGTTCATAAAATGCAGAATCATGTGCGCAAACTGCTGTTTTTGATGGAGTATAATATGCAGACAATTTGCCCTTCTCCCGGTATAGACACCATTGAGTAACAAAGGCTACGTTACTATAAACATAATAGATGGCTAGAGCCCAAACTTCACCATAAATGCACTGAGTACCTAGTACCCAAACTCAACACACATCATGCTCTTAAGTAACAGTTACAGAAAGGACTGACCAGTAGAGCCATGGGCTGAATGGACAAGAGTGGAATAACCTTCTGTGTGTGTATATCTACAAACAAGGTGGTAAAGAGCTGAGAGAACTGGGAATCAAAAATGCCAAGCCCAGGTGTGATTGGCTAGTGGTACACAGATCACCTGATCATAGAACTGTAGTGATGGATGCAAAGTTTTCATGCTCTTTCTTCTCCTCAATAGGGTCGATGTGCCAAAGTGTCTTCCATTAATGACAAGAGTGACTGGAAAACAGTCCGCAAAGCCTTCTCTGTCATTGACTTCACTGAAACAGATATTGAGGTATAGAGGCAAGAGAAGTGATGTGCGTTTATGAAAGGGGGTAACTGCTGATTCCATCCTGGTTCAGGATGGATATCTGGGGAAATTTCCAAATAAGGGCTGTACTGCTCTTTCTAAGGAAGTGGTGGAAGTCTCTTCCCTTGTGACACCTAAAACTGGACTGGATACAGTGCTGAAGTATATGTTGTGGGGAACAATCTTGCACTGACTAAGACGTGGACAAGATAACCTGAGAGCAGGAATTGTCTGAATACCTTACTGGCTTCTGATATTCCATAATGGATAGAAAAATGGGATGCAATAACTAATGCCTGTACCCACCAGGAGGAAAATGCTTTACAAACAGTATTACTGGGCCAGTGGCAAACTTTCTGATCCCCTCCCCACCCTGTGTTTTCTGGTCCGAAGTGTGTTGCTAAAGGAAGTCTATATTGCTACCACTCTAGCGAAAAATGTCATGTGTATATAGGTAGAGATTGGTATCAGAACTTCATGTCACCTATAAAAACCAGGGGCTGTTATTACTCTTCATATCATTAAACATTTGCTTGATAGATTTAATAAATTAAAAAAAAAACCAGAAGGGAATTAATTTGATCTCCTATATAATACAGGACGCAGAATTAGGAGTTTGGGGGATATGGTTGTGGCTTTGTCAAATGACCAATTCTCTTTCATGGTACAAATTAAAACATTCTCCCTCTCTGCAGTTCCTAACTGTTGATTTTTTTTTTTTTTATATCACTTAAGTAAGTTGGGTCCAGAGTTCATTGGAGTATCATCTATGCCTCTCTGAAATGGCTCTCTAACTCCATTTTGCAAATGCAAGGATTGCTTTTGTCTTAACTGCATCATATAGTCAAGTGCCCTTTTTCTGCTGCCTGTGTTTTTGTGAACTTCTCAGGAGTAAGGGAAGAAGCAGGGCCAGTGCTACCATTAAGGCAAACTAGGCGGTTGCCTAGGGTGCCAAGATTTGGGGGTGCCAAAAAGCGGTGCCCCCAATATTTATTTTTTTACAGCATTCCTGGGCTGGGCTGCCGGTGGCGTGCTGACACGTGTGGCTCAGACTCCCTCTCCCAGCGCAGCAGGCTCTCCACTTCTTCCACCTCCCAGGCTTGCGGCGCCAATCACCTGTTTGGCGCCGCAAGGCTGGGAGGGGAGGAGAACTAGAGCGGGGGTGGTGTGCTCAGGGAGGAGGCGGAGCAGAGGTGAGCTGGGGTGGGGAGCTGCTGCACGGCTCCCTAGGGGGGAAGTTGCCGCAGGGAGGGGGGGCGCCTCAGGGCGGAGGGGGGGTGGGGAGCTGCCGCAGGGCTGGGGGGGAGGGCGCAAGGTGGAAGTTTTGCCTAGGGCGTGAAACTTCCTTGCACCGGCCCTGGGAAGAAGGGTCTATAAAAGTGATGGTCCCAGCACCAAGATGGCCTGAGATACAGGCCCTGTTATATGCATGCCTGGTGACCTCGTCTTTGCCTCTCCCGTGGACTTTGGTGATTCCCACCATCCATCTACTTCTAAGGTTGAGCAGCTGGCTTAATTTTGAAGTGTCCGATGATGTGCATATCCCAGGGAGTCAGACTGGAAGGAGGTGGCCAGGTTGGAGTGTCCTTCTGTACCAGGTCTAGAGAAATAGCTGATAATCTCTCTCTGTCTTTCTCAGCAGTAGTTGATTTTCAGATCAACAGATTGCACTACCACTGAGCCAAACAAGAGCATATTCTGCTTAAGAGTAATGACCATGTAACCATATGAACTTGGCTTTTAACAGTCTTTGTCACTTTGGCCTCAGCATCTCTTTGGGGTCATTGCCAGTGTCCTGCACCTGGGGAATATTCAGTATGAAGAAGATAGTAACGGTCATGCCATCATCACCAACGGCAGCCAGATCAAATGGATCTCAAAGGTATCATCTATGGGGAGACAGGAAGCTTCCATACAGATTTGGAAGCAGGGGCCCAAGGCACTAGGTTTGAGGGGCTGCTTCCCTTCCTTGCTATGTTTTTGACTTGTGGATGGTAGCACGTACTGTCCTAGGAAGCGTCCAAATTCTCTAGAAGGACAGCCTCTGCTCTGAGGGGCTCACCTTGGCTCTGTGCGTCGAGTCCGGCTCAAACCGTCCCTGTGCTAATCGGGATCCTAGAAATGTAGGACTGGAAGGGACTTTGAGAAGTCAACTAGTCAAGCCCCCTGCACTGAGGCAGGACCAAAAAATCTAGCCCATCCCTTCCAGAGGTTTGTCCAACCTGTTTTTAAAAACCTCCAGTGATGGGGACTCCACAACCTCCCTCAGGAGCCTATTCCAGAGCTTAACTACCCTTAGTTTTTCCTAATATCTAACTTTGCCGCAGATTAAGCCCATTACTTCTTGTCCTGCATTCAGTGGACTAGATCAATTATTCTCCACTGTCCTCTTTATAGCACCCCTGTGAACTCTGTACTGAGCTGCCAGATGCAGAATTCTGAAGTTTAAAAGTTTTAAACAACTCTTGCTGTCAGCATAAAGATGGAAAAGTTGAAATCTGTAATGTAGAATAGGCTCCTTAGCATTTTAATTCAACTTTAGCCATCAAGGGTATTTACAGTACATTATGCTTCCTGTGTAACTGATCCATGCTTTTCATTATGGGTGTGGTGTATTAAGGCATTACTAGAATATCCTCTCTCATTGTTTTTAATAGTGTTTTTGTCCCCAGTTGGCATAAAGATACACATGGTCACTTCCCAGACCTGCATAAGTGACTTTGCATTGCTTGCAGGGTGGCTGCTGACAGGGGGGCACAGTTGTCGCTGTGGTGGCACGTAATGTTTTGGCTTATGTGGCTCCTTCAATCCAATGCACAAAAGGGTCAAGCTGCATGTTCAGACTGGAGTGGCAGCAGCATCCATTTGGAATTTCCTGTTGTCAGTAGAAATCAACTGCTTAACGTTGTTTTAAATATAACAAAGGAGATCTGAGTGACTTAATCTGCCAATACTGCCACCCCCTAACAACCAGAAATGGGTTGTGTGGGCTACAGCCTAATAGAGAAGCAGCAGCTCAGTACTCCACAAGGGAGCAAACCCCTACAAGGTGCCTGTGCAGTCTGCCAATACACTATGGGAGAAAATTCTTGACCGACCTCTAATCATGGCAATCATGTTAAACCACTGCAAGTAAGAAAAATGCTGTAGTTAAAATCCCAATATGACCAGAGATAACTGAGATAGCAAAGGTGTCTGGTTCCTTTTCCTTTAAATCTTAATATCATGGATTCCACTACTTATCTGTGGGCGCAGAGAAATGCAAATGTTGATTGCCCCGTTACATTTTGGGTTTTCAAGAGTAATTAACAGTAAAAGGCAACAGCCTGGACATTTCACTCCAAATTGACTGTATTCATGAAATTCCCCTTTGTACTCTAACTGTGGCTCTCTTCTTTGGCAGTTATTGGGCGTTCACTTATCCATTCTACAGGAAGCTCTTACGCACAGAAAGATAGAAGCCAGATCAGAAGAGGTATAAATTAAGCCAGTGTCCGATTCCTCATAGTCTATTAAGTCAACGCAGTCTAGTGGTAAAACCCTGGGATAAGGAGCCAGGATACCCTGTGTTTTGTTCTTGACACACTCACAGATTCTCTAAGGAAACTTCACCAAGTTTACTGAATCTCTGACTCTTTTCCCATCTGTAAAATAATTGTGGTAAGAATAGTTACCTTCCTTTGTAAATTTCTGAGATATTAAGCTGAGAAGTGTTTGGTGTGAGGCTGCCTTCCTGCTGAGTGACACAAGTGATTGAAAAAAGCCAGGAGCGACGAAGGTTTACACGCAGCCACACGTCTGAGCCAAATTATCTTCCTTTGTGTAGTCTGTAAAGTGCTTCTTGAGAAATTTGGCTTCATATGCAGATGAGAGTATTTGTATAAAATGTCTGCTTGTAACATTTTGTGGTGTTTGAAAGCCATCAGAATTGCAGAATCCCTTGAAATTTGGCAGTCCCAAAATGCAGCCTCCTAATCAATACTGATAGTGTATACCCATTTCCCCCTTATATCTGGCGTACATCATTTAGCTCTTATATAGATGAATGTTTGCCCCCAAATTAGGGAGTAAAATGGGGTTCAATCCTTATTTTTATTCATCTACTTCGCTGTCAGTGACTCCTCTCCTGTAGCCTGAATGTTAATGCTAGGAGATTCGTAGCTATTGTCTTGCACCTTCTGACCAAAAAGATGATATATGGAATATCTCACTTTATTTCAAAACCGTGATCCAAAACCTCTTTGACTTCAAATCCATCTCCTCATTGTGAGACTGGACCAGTCTAAACTCTGCTACAGGTTAGAATGTGTGCAGCTGGGTGGGAGATGTGTGGAAGTAGGGCACTAGGACCCAACATGCGGTCTCCTAGCTGGGGCGCTAGAGCAGTAGTCACACCAGCCTGAGGTGCTAGCTATGGACCGGTACCTGGAGCTGTGGTTGGCTTCAGTTTTGATCTGAAGGCAGAATGCTTGCTCATGCTTCAGTGTGAAATGGAGACTGTCAGATGGTAGCCTGCTCTCTAATCCATGAGCATGAAATGAGTTAGAAATTACTGACTTTGAGTTACCTTAGTTACTATCCTTGAGTATTTTTACCGGCCCTTTTTTTTTTCTTTCAGGTCCTAAGTCCCCTGAACATAGACTTGGCATTCTGTGCTCGGGATGCAGCAGCTAAGGCAATTTATGGACGGACTTTTACTTGGCTAGTCAACAAAATTAATGGATCTTTAGCCAACAAGGTTGGTTCCCTTCTAGCTAATACTGTGCTCTACAAACAAGTACTGTCTCATTCAGTGAATGGACAGCACTTCCAGAATGAGTCAGTAATGTGGTGGTTTCCACCAGACGTCTCAAGTCTGCTAGTTGAGTTCAGGGATTCAAACCACTGTGAGCTGGAGATTCATGTTCTGCTTGATGTTTTTTGGTATCGAATACTAAAGATACATTGTCAAGTAGTTTGGCTAATGCATGACCTGCTTTAAAATTGTCCATCCTGATTGGAAGTAAATACAGATCTATACATGATCACTTTATAGCTGATAAGAAAAAAAAATCACTGCTTTTGTAGGACTCATCCAAACTATGGTATGTGCTTCTCCTGTTGGACATGTGGCAGCAAACTAACATGCTATTTGCTGGTCTGTAATGCTGGTGCAAAAACAAGGGGAGTTTAGCATAAAACTAAGCTTTCTAGAAGACAAGAAAAATATTTTCCAAATGGTGACAAAACTTGTATGGGAAGTAGCCTTGATATCTGTGCTTAGGAGAGAGAAGTGACCTTCCAGACTAGTTGAAGGAGGTCTTTGCTTTTGGGTTGGTAAGCCACCAGGCAGCCATGCATGGAGCCGTTTTTATTATCCCAGATACGTAGTTTTGAAAGATGGAAAATGGGAGTTGGCTAGATTTCCCCCGTTAATGATTTAATAGCTGTGCACCAGGATGTGTGTTGTACTATCAGCTAAGAAACCCAGGTCTGAGAGTTAACATTAGGCTTTGAGTTGGAGAGACTACAAACATTCACAGAGCTAGGAACAACCAGGAGTCCCCAGCTTGGGATCCTGTGTCATACCCAAATATAGAAGGCAATGGTTGTCTGGAACAAATATATGTGACGGCCATCCTGCCAGTGTCTATAAGAGGGTGAAGCCATTGGAAGATAAAGGGGATTTATTCCACAGTCTCTCCTACCTCTACGCCCAACCTCCACAAAGAATATTTAGACCTATCTTGGCTTGCTCACCAAAATATCTGGTCAGTTCAGCTGCAGAATTGCCTGCTAGAGGGACCCATGCGTTAATGACACTGTCCCTGTAATGAGTCTCCCTGGTCAGTGGCAGAGTGGGAACAAATGAGAGAGATTAAAATCTAGGTGAAGGGAACCACATCAATGATACAGAGCAATCGCATCAGTTACAGAAATCATCTTTTCCTCATGGAGCATTTAATGGTATCTTTGGCAGGACCTCACCAGGAAAACGGTGATTGGGCTGCTTGACATCTATGGGTTTGAAGTGTTTGATACAAACAGGTAAGTGCCACTGAAGCTGGCTCAAACTGTGCGTGCACTAATGTGGGTCTGCTTCCAAAGCAATGCATGGCCATTAGGGCTCAGGCTTTGGCTTACCCCAGAAAGGCAAGGAAGTTGAGTCCCAGCTCTCTTCATCAGCTTTGAGCTGTACCTAATCTGTGACATGTGTTGCAGTATGTAGGCGTAACTGGCTAAGTGAAGCACAGTGAAGGTCTCGACTCATTTCTTTGCTCTAGTTGGCTGATTGCGTTAAAAATCCAGAATCATATGGAAGAACTTGTGCATGTAATATTGGAGTGGGCCATCTTCTTGTGTGGGGCAGCTTTCAAAGCCTCTAGAGAGACAGAAGGATGTGACCACTACCTTCTTCTAGCCAAACAAAACTCATTGCCCTGTAACACTTATTCTGTCATCATATGTTCAATTATAAGGCTGTTGGGAAGGAAGTTAGTGATGGGTGACAATGTGGCAGTTTAGTTCAGAAACATTCAACTGTTAGTCTGCTGCTCTGAGCTTGCTGTGTCAGCAAAAATGGGCCGGGAGTCTCTCAAAAACAGCCCTTCTGGGAAGAATGTTGGTACTTCCTTCTGGAATTGCAGCTCCGATGACAGTGTGCATATTTGTTTGGGGAAGGTAGAGGGTGGAGTTAGCTGAACTTTATCAAAGCTCTCTAATTTGGTTTGAATTTCAAGCAGAAGTTTTAGGGGCGGTGGGTGGGGAGGGAGGAGTGGCATATTTTATCCGGACTGATTCTCCAGTTCTTATTCAACATCTACACTGGTAGGTAGCCACTCTTGAAATGGGATATGGGCTTTTTCTATTCAAATATAGTTCTAGTGGGAAAGCAAAACTACAGCTGTCTCAGCTATTTCATGGGCTCATCTTCTGTCATGGGGAGAAGGGTTATAATAGGAATTCTCTTTTTACACTTGTTTCCCTACAAACCAAGAAGGCAGCTAGAAAGTTTTCCTTTAATGCATATCATTATTCTTGCTTATTTGATTTTTCAAAAGTTTTGAACAGTTCTGCATTAATTACTGCAACGAAAAGCTCCAGCAGCTGTTAATCGAAATGACTCTGAAGGCAGAGCAGGAGGAATATGAGATGGAAGGCATAGAGGTAACTCTCATTGCTTTTCCCTGTCTTGTTCTCTTGGGAACATCACTGCACAGCAAACTTATTCTTATTCACCAAGGCATTAATAGTGCTTTTTAAAACTTTCAATTACAGTTGGAATACCCTTGACATTTGAGATGGAAAAGGCATAGTGGTCCCACCCATTCCGTTCCCTTCAGTTAGTGCAGGATTATCATTGATGGTATATTTTCATATTGTCATCTTTTTTTAAAGAATGCTTCCCTTTGAGAGCTATAGAGAGCACAGTCTCCAACCTCTTTTGTCCTGGGGGCTCTCTCCCACAGACCCTCCTCCCATTTGGTAACATGGGATGTGTGGGATAGTCATGACCCCCGAATGCCTGTCTGACCCCCAGCTTCCAGTTGAGAACCCCTGTGCTATGTAATAGAACTCACAGGAAGCTCTCGCTGTACTTGGCCTAACTTTTCCCTTTCCCTACTTTGATCCCACTACTCCTAGTTGTACCCTTCCTATCGCGTTCAGTCGTTCTGGTTGAGTTAATTTGTATGCTTTGAAGGAGAATGTGGCAGAATTAGGACTCTTGGCTAGAAACACAGACTCTGCAATGAAATGCCTTTGTAGAAATCAAGAAGATCCTTGTAAGATAAGAATGGCCATGCAGGGTCCAACCATTGGTCCATCTAGTCTGGTGTACTGTATTCCAACAGTGTCAGGCACCAGATGCTTCAGAGGGAATGAACAGAACAATTATCAAGTGATCTGTTCCCTGTCACCCAGTCCCAGCTTCTGGTAGTCAGAGGATTAGGGACACATGGGGCATGGGTTGCATCCCTGACCATGTTGGCTAATAGCCATTGAAGGACCTATCCTCTAAACTTTTTTTTTTTTTTTTTTTAAGCCCAGTTATACTTTTGGCCTTCACAACATCCTCTGGCAACAAATTCCACAGGTTAACTGTGCATTGGATAAAGACATACTAACAACAAAAGATGCAGCTGAGTGTCTTTCAATGGAAGAGACTGAAGGATTGCAGTGTAGTAATGTAGAGATTAAGATAATTCTGCCCATGCTGCTTAAAGGGGGAAGATATTGAGGAGTGGCTGGGTCAATAACCTCTCCAATAAAACCTTAAATCCTAACTTGGAATTATTTCAGATTGGAGTAGGTAAAGTTCTCTGAAATCTTTAAAAATCACTTTTTTCCTTTCTAATCCCAGTGGGAGCCAATTCCATATTTCAACAACAAGATCATCTGTGACTTGGTTGAAGAGAAACACAAAGGAATAATCTCCATCCTGGTAAGAACAAAATTTGTGCCTTATTGTGCAGTAATCCCATACTATTATTACTCTCTCAATATGTTAAGAACTCGACGGTACCCAGGATGTAAATATATGGATGCTCAAGTTCCCCTATGAAAAGGGTTGGGTAGAATACTAGGTTACAGAGTCTGAAGACACCACAGAACACCAAAGTAAAGTTTGAGCAACTTGTACTTTTTTCTGAGCTGTGCTCTGAGATTTTCTCCTGTTTACTTGTCTCTATCCTCAAAAGCCCCAAATTACAGCCGTCACCATCCTGCATTGTATGCAGGGGCTGCTTGAATGAAGCTTTTTAGCCTTAGTGATGTTGGAAGGGCACTGTCTGCAAGAGGACTCCTAGAGTGCAGAGCAGCCTTCTCCTCCTCCTTTGGGATAAATGGGGTGGGAGCCCTACGAGAAAATCAAATTGCTTTAAACTTGGTAATACAATTACTGTACGGCAATCGGTTCTTAAATGCAAAAAACAAGAAAGGTAAGATTTATAGAGATTCTTTCTGTAAAGATGCATGTAATTCAACAGTGATGCGTTGTGCTTTGACCCCCATGGCTTGCTGACTTGTAGACTGAGGAGTGGAGAGTTTATCACATGGATACAGAAGCCGGGTGACTAATGCACTGAAACCCAGGGCAGGAGTATCATGAGTATTGAAGCTTAATTAGAATAGGAATACTAGCATTAAGTACATGTGCAAGGAGAACTCTTCTGTACATATCATAATTGTGTGGGTCGGGGGGTGGTTCTCGGGTAGAAAAGATGAGAATCCAGTAGGTTTGGAGGCTTTTGGACTCTTAGAAACTGTAATCAATGTTGACCAAGAATCTCTAGCCTTTATCTATGTATTCCTGGGTCTCCGTGCCTAGTGATATCAACTTCTTCCACCCTGCCATCTTCATGTGAAACTGACTATAAGCACGGAGACAGACCAGGAGAGAGGCATACACTTGCAGAGAATGTAAAATTCTGTGCATAACAATAGTCTTGTAAAACTGAGTTATGAATTTTACAAGGAAGCATATAGGTGTTTTGTCTGAAACTGAATAGTTTATAAACTGAAAACCTTAATTATAGTTTCTCATGGTAATGCTGTAGTTAAGTTGCAAGTAATTACTATGACATGTTATCTTGTAACCAGACTGTACTAAGTTACAGTCATGAGATGACAGTTTGTGTTCTGAAAAAAGTTACTTGGCATTTCTTTAACAGCTGCACTTTTATTTGAACAAGGGTAGGTGTGTCCACTGCCCAGATTTTAGTGGCATTCAAAGTTAAATGTGCATTAATATGGTACATTTAATTAAATCATGATAGAGAGAAACACATTTTTAATACACCCCACCTCCCCAGACTTACCTTGCTGAAACAAAGCATTTTGTTGCAAATGTTTCTCTATACTTTGATATTATATGCTGAGAATGCTCCTAGGGGCTGAGAATCTGCCACTTTCGTTGAAATTAATGGGATTGTGGGTTCATAAAACTTCTGAAAACTAGGCCAGCTTCTCTATGCAGCAGCACTCAGGTAACTACAGTGATGGATGCTATTAGAAAACCCTAAAATCAGTAGGTAACCCCAAATCCCAAATGACCACTCTCTAAACAGTGTTGTGGTCTCTGAGGGGACTTATACACTTTATACAGATTACAGAAAATGATTTTGGCAAATCTTGGGTCAGTAAATCATGTTCAAATCTGCCATCAGCAGGGAGTAAGGTCAGATTAAGATGCTGCAATGTTTCTTCTTTAAGGATGAAGAATGTTTACGGCCTGGTGAAGCAACTGATTTAAGCTTCCTGGAAAAGTTGGAAGAGAAAGTAGGAGATCATGCCCACTTCCTGACGTATGCACTTACGCTCTGTAACCTACTGTAGAGGAAACTTTCCCTAGGGTTTCCAGTGTTCTGTTCCGAGGTCCTGTTTTATACCAAAGAAAAGTTCCATTCTAGCAGGCTGCCTGCAATCTACCACTATGATAAACGACGTTGTTAGAATATAATCTGTGGTATGTGAGGGGGGGAGGGGGAAATTCCTGTCTTCCCTGTATCATTAGCTTGCCAATATTTAAGTCGGGCCCCAGTTTATCCATCCTTCTATGTGTATTTTATATCCAAATCAGGGACCAATCCTGTGAGGTGACAAATAGCTTCAACTTGCATTGAAGTCCGTGAGAGTTGAAGGTACTCGGCACTAGGCAGAACTGAGCCCTGGTGATGAGCCGAGCCTGCAGAGCTTGGCTTTGGAGCCAGATACAAACTTCTCCAAAGAGGCCATCTCCAGGAGATGTGTGTGCCCCTGCTAGATTCTTCCCAACAAGTACCACTTCAGTAAATTATTCCTATTGCTGCAGTGCCTAGTGCCAGGGCTCTGTGTGGTAGGTGCTGTACAAATGCAGGTGAAGACAGGGTCCCTACCTGGGTGTCCATAAGAGAAGGCTAACTAAAAACCAACGAGTAGCCAGCAGTTCACAGAATCAAGATTCTGAAATGTTACTTCTGGCTGTGTGACGCTCCGGACAATTCCTTGTGGAGAGTCAGTAACCAGTCTGCCCGCTACCTATCTGTTCCTTAATATCCTACTCTCTTTCAGACAAAGATCTTCAGAGATAATTGCTAGAACTACTCCATTTTTAAAAAAAAGGCAATACATGTTGGAGGGCAACATCAGTGTGAACGCAGTTCAGTCACAAATGGAATCTTGCCATTAGTAAATGTTTATTACAGTAGTTCCCAGAAATACTAAGCATTCACTGTTTCAAAGTTTCAGTGGTGTCCTCTTTGCATTAGGTATCTGCTATTCATGAAACACCATTAACTGTGTTTTTTGCCTGTTTAGTGTAAAATTTGGGGATGTCTTTTCAAACTGAAATCAGGCAGAAGCAAGCTGCCATCCTTATCCCGGCCACATAGACAAAGCTAATAAAAATGTCTGAACATTTAAATGTCTTCTGCAAGGTGTAAAGTGTATCCTGAATGAATGGCTTTTTCTAACTAGCATATAGCAGGCCACATAAGATTATGGGAACTACCAGGACAGTACATGAACCATTTCTGTTGAAATAGGCTCTTCGTTATTAGATGGCTTCTGACCAATTTGCAAAATCTCTTTCAGAAGGAACTTATCAAAGAAATGTCTATATGGGCCCCAACCCTACAATCAGATTCATGCTAATAAGAGCCTAACTTGATGTCTGTTTCTGATTTTGCAAAAAACTGTTCTTAGTATGGTTGATTCCACCATTCCCATGAGCTGAAGAAACTATTTGGCTTCTTGCTTTTCTCTCTGGTTTCTTTCTTTCTGTAGCCGCAAGCTTGCAGATCAAAAGACACGAAAATCAATTGACTGGGTGGATTTCCGTCTCCTTCACTATGCAGGGGAGGTCACTTACTGCGTAGTAGGTGAGTGTGGACTAGACAAGCCTGCATTCTTGAAGGACATTCTAACGGGTCTCCCTGTGACATGTGCTTTAACTTGCAGCACTTAAGCGGGTGGTGGCAAATCCTCCACCTCCAGCACCTGATTAGAAAACGATTCTGAAATAGACTTGCCCTTCAGGGGCACTCTGCCTTTCCTTCTTTGGACTATCTCAAATCCCCAAGTCTAAATTTTTGATAGAAAAATTCAGTTGTTTGAAGATTTAATTCATGCAACTCACTTTTCAAAAATATGGGAAAATCTATATAGATATGGTCGAAACTGACATGCAGGGCTGTCCCTAGGGAGGCGCGGGGCCGGGGACAAATCAGCCTGTATGCCTCTCCCCCCCCCCCCGTAGCATTTTTTTTTTATACAGGTGAAATCTGGTTACAGTGAACTTCAAGGGCAGCTGCATGTTAAATATTGATAGCACCCAGCTGTATAATTAAAAGGTAGTTATTATATTGTCATTCTTGTGTACAATTATAATGAAGTTCATATAATTAAAAAAAAAAAACTCACCGTGAGGCAGCCCTGCCCCAGAACTGACCTGTGCATGGACCCTCTAGCTGGGGGCCAGTCTCTGAGCCGCTCTGCACCCACCACAGGGAGCTCATGGGCCAGGGCCGCTAAGGGGCCTCTCACAGGCTCCCAGGGCCTTCCCATGACCCTGCTGCCAGCAGGCTGGGCTGGGGACCCCGGGAGGGCAGCACTGACCCCTGCTAGATGGGGCTGGGAGGTCCCGGCCTGTGGAATGCCTGCACGGGACCTGCGCAGGGATAATTGTTGCTGCCTCCAGCACGGCGGGGCATACCCAAGAACCGCTGCCAGGATCCTCCCACAGATCGCCACCGGGATCCTCCAGCCCTGGTCAGCTCCCGGGATCCCTGAACCCTCCGGAGCAACACACGCGTGCTGTGATGGGTGCATGCGAAGTATTGCATCTGACCCTGTGATGTCCAAGCATGGGGCCCCCCAAAGCGCAGGGCCCGGAACGGTCACCCCGATTCGCCCCACCCCTGGGACAGCTCTGCTGACATGAAAGCATATCCAGGGAGAGGCTAAATTGAACGCTTTGGGTCAAGCTGTGTGAGTAATTTCACTTTCACACATGAGTAACTTCACTCACACATAAGCCAATAGGATTACTCATGCAAACAAAGCTGTCTGCATAGGTATTCGTAAGATCAGGGCCTTGATTGCTAGTTGCTAATAGGAAATTGTTGGGTGAATATTCTGGGCCAGATTCTTAGCTGATGTAAATGAGACAGCTCTTGAAACCAATCACAACAGCTGAGAATCTGTCCTATCTTCTGGTTCAGCTGCAAGGTCTGAGTACAGCGAAATTATAGTTCTAGAGCTTCAGTCACTAAGCTGCTTCAGACAATTGCATCTTCTAAACAATACAAATAGCTTTCACTGGCCTCTGTGTGCACTCTGGGTTTCTTTAACTTGAGCACAATGCTTGTTCCTCATGTAGAATCTTGCATCACTAATGGTTGCAGTGGCACTTCCATATGTTGGTTCCCATGCGCAGTGAATGTTACAATCTATGGATCAAATGTCTGTTCTAAAGACCAGTTCTTAAAGGTGGTGGTCTTTTTCTGCTCCTGGTTACAATGAGCAGTGAGACTTTCACACAGAAGGGTCAGATCAAAGAATGAATACTTTATTTCAGATTTACATGTAGCACACAGCTGCGTAACAGTTGCGGGCAAAGATCGTATCTCGTCAAATAGCCACTTAGCTTGGCTGGTCTGCCTTGGTAATGCCTAATAAGTTGAACTGTCCTTGCAAGATGAAGACTTCCCTGCTCATGGCTGATTTGGGTAGTGACCATTTGGATTTAGAGCATCTGGAGGATGACCGTTCTATTTTGTGGCAACTTCCGAAGCGTCAACATTTTTCGTTCTTCACTAAAACAAAACCCTTTGGACATTTTAGCACACATTGGTTCACTTTGGATCCATACCTGAGCTTGGGGATGTGGTGGGTGAGAGACTTTCACTTTACAACCTGCTGGTTAGGGCAGTGGTCTGGGAGGTGGGACATGTAGGTCCAAGGCCTTGCTCTGGTTGATTCAGAGCAGAGTTTTTCATCCCAGATCACTCTGGATCAGGCAGAGCTGGGACTTGAATTTAGGGTCTTCCGCATCGCAGGCAGGTACCCCAACCAGCAGGCTATAGAGTGTGCCTCCGTCTTTGGCTTTGAAATGAAATTTTGCTGAAAATGTTCTGAGCAGCTCTCTTAAGATGTAATGTGTGAGTGGCAAAAGCAGCAAATTCATGAAGAACCTCCTAATCATTCTCCTTTAATTTTCTTCAAAACAACATTGTTTCTTAAAACTTTCTTTTCAGGATTCCTAGAGAAGAATAACGATCTCCTGTACAGAAACCTAAAAGAGGTAAGAGGCTATTGAATCACCGGAATTGGCTTTTCAGAAGGATTTTTTGTGATTGATCTTTAGTTTGGTTAAGTATCTGAGAGGCTTTTACACAGTTTCAAGCATTTCAATGGCCATTACAGGTCGTGGTGTTCTGGAAAGCTCTTGTCTATGCAGCCTCATTTGTTCGCTTCAGCAGCAGCCTGTAGGAGTATTGTGCCCATTTACTTTACCCTTGCACTCCTCTGTTTCAGGTACTGTGCAAGTCTAAAAATGCCATAATTAAAGAATGCTTTCTTCCATCTGAGCTAGACAACAGGAGACGGCCTGAGACTGTGAGTTTCATCCCTTACATACAAACCTATAAGGAGGAGCAAACTAACTTCCAAAATAACTTGGCTTCCGGAGGCCTAATCCCTCTTCCTGAGCTTATTCTTGACTTCAGTGGAATTCCTCAATTGAGCAACACTGAGGCAGTCTTGAAGGGGAGGGAAAAAATCCAATACTGCTGCTTAGATCTCAGTAAGGAGTGTGATACATCTCCTCAGTGGTACTGATTATTTATTCAGCACCTGAAACTGTGCTGGATGCTTTCCATGGTAAATAAAGATCCTTCAATTCCTAAGGGTTGCCTGACACACCTCTCTGCTTGGCAGATTCTGAGGGTGGTTGGTTTAAGCAAAACCCTCCAGAATTTTCATATTCAAATGTTTTCCCACCTCACTGAAGGATTTTGGAAACACGTGTTTTAATTCAACCTACAACTCAAGGACTGGAGTAGGGCTTCACTGTTGACTTCAGTAACTGCACTGTCTTAGCTGTATCATTAATAGAGATCTTCGTTTTTGGTACAGGTTGCAACCCAGTTCAAAAACAGCCTGGCTAGCCTAATCGAAATCCTGATGTCCAAGGAGCCTTCTTACATCCGGTGTATTAAACCCAACGAGGGCAAAGAGCCTGGTAAGGGATGTCTTTGTTATCATGGTATTAGTGGGGTGAAGAGGCAGACCCTCAGCTATGGTGTAACTCCTTAAAAAACCCACAAAGTCCAACACCTGGCCAGATGCAGTAAGGGAGCAGCCCTGGAACACTTCACAATGAAAGGCCAAACTTCAATGAAAGTGGGTCCCCCTGGGTCTGGCCGCTGAACTTTAGCGCTGCTTATACACTACCTAGCTACACGTACTTCCTATATCACACACAGCTGCTACTTAGTTTGTGCTTTTTCTTCTGCTAGAGCAGTGATCTCCAAACTTTTTTGATCGCGCACCCCTATCAGTAAAAATTTTTTTGAGCATGCACCCCTGCCGTGCCAAAGCGCGCCAAAAAAACCCAAACCCGCTCAGACTCCCGCCCGAACTGCCGAAGCGCGCCCCCCCCAAAAGCGCTCCTCCTGCCGCACACCCCCAAGGATCCTCTTGCACACTCCCTGGGGTGCGCACACCCCACTTTGGAGACTACTGTGCTAGACAGCCCTTAGAATTCCTCAAGGCATGCCATGCGGGTTGCCGGGCAGTCACCCCTATGCAGCCAGCACTTTGTAGACTGATCTTCAAACATGGTTTAAGTACCCCCAGCATACTGCAAGAACCCTCTTTCCTGGTGACAGGGAATGCAGGAGAACATTTGTGCTTCTTACTAGCAGAAAACCCCATCACCCATATACTGCACCTCTCCGAATAGACCCATTCTCCTCAACGCTTTCAGGCCATAGCTGCTTCCTGGTCTGCTTAATGCCTTGACATGGTACATTTATCAATCTGCCTAATTTCTAACCAGCAGCGAGCAGGAGGGGGGGGGTGTGCCACTGGTTAGAGCGGGAGACCTGGAGTCAGGCTCTAGCTTTTGGAGGGGAGGTGGTGTGGTGATGGGGCAATGGGAGTCATGATTTCTGCTTCTAGTCTTGGTCCCACCCTCCATGACATAGCTTTGAGCTAAGTCACTTTGTGTGCCTGCTTCCTGACCTACAAAATGGACACGCTTATCTCACACTAGTATAGTGAGGCTTAATTAACATTTAGGCACTTTGGAGAAGTGCAAAGAGCTACAGCATGAAACTCTTACACGGCAAGAGAAAGCAAATATTCTTGAAGTTGTGTGAGGGGAAGACCATTCATTATCCACTTAATGTTTCAAAAAGCCAGCACTCCCTGCTGAAGCACCTTCACTTGAAGTAATAGACTGTAGCACATCTGGTGCTTCTCAAACGCTTCGGGCAGCTGTACCAGTTTACCAGACTAAGACCTTGCCTGTACAAGCCAGGGCCCATCCACCACCTCCATGTTCAACTGTGTGTCCTTGTTTCAAGCCCTGGTCTAATGACTAGTTGACACAGAGGCCCACTGGTGCCAGCTGCCAAGGGGTCGACTTCTCTGTAACAGCAGCCCCTGACAAGCTCCTTACACCTAGCACACCGCTTTCATGGTCTTTATCCATAAAGACTATCATGTGAGGGCTGCTGGTTATTAAAATCCATGTGAGTCATGCTGGTTATTAATATCCATTTGAAATGTGTGTGCAGACAATATTTAAGGAGTTGTTTATATGTACCAAAAATATGTTTTTAAAGTCCGTTCCAATCAAAGAAGGCGGGAGGTAAGATGGGCATCTGTCGAAATGTAAATTTAAGCGTTGTAAGGCAACATAATGGAAGCCCCATTTACATCCTGAGTCAGCCAGAAAGGGGCACACTGGAGAATGAGCTACAGCGGGTTGCCCTGTCTCTGGGGGCAGACGAACTTTGGGGAATATAAGGAGTAGGTTCTCCTGCACCTGAGGAAGTAATCAGGCAGTGCGATTTCCATTCATGAAAACAGGATCCCTACCTACTGTGGTTGGAGGCACTGTAAGGGACATCTGAGTTAGACAGGCTTCCTTGGAGATCAACCTCCTGTCTTAACATGCTTTCTAGAGCATCAATTTCTGATTTTGTTTTGTACGTCACCTTGCTGTTTCTGTTCTCCTTATTCACTGTCTCTTAAATCTTAATTTTGTGTTGACAAACTTACAGCTGTTTTCACTATTAATATAACTCGGTGCTGTAGTATTCTACCAGGAGCTGATCCTGAATTTGATCCTATGGGTTGGTGTGTGCACTGTCCCCTTGGGGATAGCAAACCTGGTATTTCTGTGAGTGGTCAGTGGACAAGGAGCTAAATATTACTGGGGAATGCTTCAAAGGGGCTCAAGGAGTGGGGTGCACCTATTAACCTGCAGGGTTAAAGGGGGCCTGAGGAGATGGTTTGGGTGGCTAACAGGCTGGTGGTATCAGGGAGCTGACACCCAGGTAAGCCCAAGCAAGTCTCCTTATTGCTGGAGGTGGGGTGAGGGGTAACAAGGTGATTCCCAGTCCTGGGTACCCTGAGAAGCATGTCACTAGCCTACCATGGAGCATGGGCTGCCAAGTGCACGCAGCTGAATGAAAGGTGGGTAGCAATGGTAGTGGGGCCCAGAACAAAGGCTTGCTGCTGAGGAGGGAGCACACAGGGCCAGGCTGGTGCCAGAGTGCAAGGATCAGAGAGGATTGTTCAGTGGTTAGGGTGGTAGCTAAGGGCAGGGTTCACTTCCTTCATTCTCCACAGACTTCCTGTGTGATCTTGGACAGCTCACTTAGGTGCATTTTACAATTTTATTCCAAATCACCTTTGAAAGTGTGACTTAAGCACTGATGAAAATTTTACCCTTGGCCTCTCTGCTTCAGCTCACAATCTGCAAAGTGGGGGAGTCACAGCCTGTCACACAAGGGGGTTGTGAGCAGAACTACAGTGAAAGCTTGCGAGCCGCTCAGAGTAAATAGTAATGGGGGCTGTAAAACACAGACTGACTTGTTCAGCAGACACTCAGTGGAGCTTACCATGCTGTGATCACACTTCACCTGCCTGCTGAAGTGCTGCCTTTCGTGGTATATGGAATAGTGAGTGAGTGGCGCCACTGAGAGAACTTACAAGTGATTCCTGTTCACTCTGTAATCACTGCAGGAAAGTTTGATGACGTCCTGATAAGACACCAGGTGAAGTACTTGGGGTTGATGGAGCACTTGCGAGTGAGGCGAGCTGGCTTTGCATACCGGCGAAAGTATGAACTCTTCTTGCAAAGGTAAACAGAGTTCCCGCGAAAGGTTGCTACTCCTAACAATGTGAAGGCTCAGTGAGGTCAGGTTTCTTGGAGTCCAATGTCACATAAAGCTCAGGTCTCCTGTGTGCAGGGATGCCCAGGTGCCAGCAGACTGCTGGTCGTTTTCTGTGTGTAAGGGCTTTCAGATGCTGCTGTGCTCAGCACCTCAGAATTAGGCTATTCTTCTTGCGACCCTCAGTATGGATTTAGGTGACTAGACCTAAAAACTTTAGCTCAATGTCTTGGATTTACAGAATTTAAGGCGGTATCAGTGCAAGAAGGAAGCTGTTTTAGCCACTGCTGTTGTGCTGAACATGTCTAATCTTCATCTGCTGTAATCATCTGCATCCACTTTAATCTACTTGTTGGCCTCTTTGCTCTTTCTTTCAAACTAAGTCTAGTCTTGTTGATGTGCTTTCTAGGTACAAGTCCCTGTGCCCGGCTACTTGGCCTCATTGGCATGGACCAGCAGCTGATGGTGTGGAGAGGCTCATAAAGCACATTGGGTACAAACCTGAAGAATACAAACTAGGAAGGTAAATGCTCTTTTCTCTTGCCACAGTGTGTTACACCAGATAATCAGGTCAGGATACTGCTCCTTTTAAAACTGTTGCAATGGAGGATCTTGATTAATAGGCTGTGTTCTCTCTTAGAACGAAAATATTCATTCGTTTCCCAAGGACTCTGTTTGCCACAGAAGATGCATTTGAATACAGCAAACACCTGCTAGGTACAGTTCCAATTGCCTTTTTATCATGCAGAGCCTAATAGCCCTTTTTCATCTGAATAATGAAAAGAAAAATGTCTGTCCTTTATGAGCATTCTTCAGTCATTTGTGAGAAAATAATAGATGCCAGAAACACAACATCCCCGGAGGCAATTACTGGGCTTTCGGGAGATGGAAGTTACAGGAACGGGGTAAGGACTTCAGGTCTGACTGATTCCAGGGAAGCTTGAGGTCTTTGGTATTTGTGTGTGCAGGTACCATGATTGCACATACAATACTGAGTTTGCACACACAAATAGCTAGTTGGGCACCTCTTTAGCTTCTGTGGGTGCAGCACCACAACTGTGACTAACAGCTGGGTTAACTGTCTGTGTAAATGTAGATGCTAAAATGCATGTGCTGGGAAACCTCTGCTGCTTAAACATGGCTTACTACTTCCAACTTCTGGAGAGTGCCACAAAACGAAGATTTGTCATGATTAGTGCAGTGCTCTAATACACGTATAAAAAGGACCCAGTCTAATGTCATTTACATGGAATGTTCATCCAGGAAGATCTTAAATGCATAATGGGAATTGCTTTGCCGGCACTGAAATGCAACCGTTCACAAGCACACACTAACACTTCTGAATAGTGCCACCTACAAGAACCAGTCATTTAAAGGAAGCTTACCATGCACGGCAATGGCGTATAACAAAGCATTCGGAGATGGACCGAACAAAGAGCAGACCAAGCCTGCATAGATAGGAACAGTTATTGGTGCATCTGTTACCTGAAGCTATAGTCCAAGAGGTGAGGTGAGATTCGTAGTCTGCAGGGCCCTGTGGGGGTTGAAGAGATTGTTGAAGAAGACTAGAAATAAGCAGACACTGCAGGGTCAGAACAAAATTCACATTACATGCGTTCTGTTACATCAGCCCTGTGGAATTCACTCAGAGCACCTGTGGATGCTTCACCCCCTCTCCTGGAGGAGTTGCACCCCATGGGGATGCTGGGGAGACATCCGTCTGTGCCAAGCACTATCTGCCTGAGGGCAAGAAACAACTTCCCTTCTAGGTAGGTTATCTCTTAATTGGCAGTTATAGGGTTTCTTGCACCTGCCTGTGAGACATCTGGTACTAGCTGCTGTTGGAGACCGGTTAATGGAGTAGGTGGACCCCACTTCTTCCGACATGGCTGTTCTTGTGTTCCTCTTTTTGCCAATGACCTTGTGCCCTGTGCAGAACCTGCATGCTTTAATTGTTCTCAGATAAACTCCCCACCCATTCCTTCTTAGAGTGACCCTATCACAGGATATTTTAAGGCTGATTTGAATTGGATGCCTTTTCCTTGTGAAATTGGAAGGGCATCTCTCCAACGGCTGAGACTCCATAGTACCAAGACATGTGTTTTATTTTCAGTTACGAGAATACAGGCCAGATACAAAGGCTGCTTAGGGAAGAGAGAATACAAGAAACAGAAGGAAGCAGGTAAGTTTTGATCATTCCTTAGTGCTGAGTTTCCCAACAGGAGTTTGTAAGTCTGGAGGTTGAGGATACGACTTCCCTGCCAGCAACTGCACCTGCACTATACTCACCCCAGCTAGGGATGTGTGACTTGTCTTTAGCTGCCAAATAACCATGGCTGACAGCAGCGTTAGAGAGAGTCAGCCAGTTGCTTTGTTACTCCACTAGCTTGTGTGACCCTGTTTCCTACTGTGTGTGTGTGTGTGTGTGTGTGTGTGTGTGTGTGTGTGTGTGTGCGTGCGCGTCCCATCCCAGTACCGGAGAGGCGATCAATGCTGCGTAAGTGTAGTACCCTCTGCTCTATGGAGGGATCGTAACTGGATGCTACAGCACTGGGAATGTCTGAATGCTTCAGGAGAGAAGTTTTTGCTTGGTTTGTTAGTCAAACCAAGCAGCTCTGTTCTAACTAGCTCGCTGGCTTGTCCTGTTTCTATCCAAGTATGTTAAAAGGACAGCTGTACTCTCCAAAGGACACTAACAATAAGAGCAGGTCTAAACATTGGTTTAACTGCATACATCAAGCATCATGCTGGCCTTATTGTCATTGAGGACATTGGGCCTGGTGTTGCTCTGAAGTTTAGGACCCCAATATCCCCACATCCTCTTCAACAGAGCCACTGTAACACACAGTGCTGGATCCAGGGAGATGTATGGTACTCTAGGAGAGGCCTGAAGCATTCATGCCCTTTACTAAGGAAACTCTTCCTGGCTTCCAAATCAGCAGGGGATTAGCAGGATTCGACAGCAAAGGGACTATAAATATTTCTAAGTGTAACCTATCCGTATGGCTGACTCTTGCAGCTATTAAGCTCGAGGCCTGCTGGAGAGGGGCGCTGGCACGCAAAGAGGCCAAGAGAAGAATTTGGGCTGTTGAGACCATCAAAAGGTAGGTTTAACCATGGGAAGGTAAAAGGTGAGGGGGAGGGAGGGAGGGAGGGGGAGTGTGTGTGTGTGTGTGTGTGTGTGTGTGCGCGTACGTACGTACTGGGGCACAGGTGGGGTGATCCCAGAGTGGTACCTAGCAAGTATAAGTCTACGCTTGTCCAGCCTGTAGGTGCCTATGGCAGAATACCTACTTCATGTCCGTTTCTCATCTGCCACTCGTTACCCCTTTGAAAATGTTGCTCTTACCTGGACCATCTTCACATGGTTATTTCTGGCTTGACCAGAAATCTCAAGCCCCTTCTCATGAACTTTGTGGTCCGCTTTCACAGCCCAGGTAGATTCTTGTGTTTTGAATGAGTGTCCAGACTTCATGGGTGATCCTCAAACCAAATCTCTAGAAGTTGCCCACTCTCCATGTCTTTAAACCTGACTCTTGCCTGACCTTTTAAAATAGTGCTTTGGAATCTAAGAGCAGAAGGTAATAGAAATAGATCTTCTCTTAAACTTGCAAGCACAATTTATTAGTGCATTAAAAATTAATGGCTTCCATAAAATGGGGTTTGGGTATTGAGTGAAATAGTACTTTGTGTTTAGCATATTGTAAACTTGAGGTTCTCTGCTAAGGAGATTGGTTGCAATGCTTTCTCTGACTTGTACTAAGCAATGGTTGGCATGAATTTTCTAACTTGACTTACCTTCTGCTCCCATTACTTTCTGAATTCCATTTGTAAGCAAGAGTTCTGATTAGGATCTTTCCTGTAGGTTTATAAAAGGCTTCATCAATCGAAAAAATCCTCTTTGCCCAGAAAACAATGAGTTTATAAGCTTTGTGCAGTACACCTATCTCACGAAGCTCAGAGACCACGTTCCCAAAAATGTCTTGGACAAGAACTGGCTCAAGCCTCCTGCTATCTTGGAAGAGGTGAGGACAGGGTTTGCGAGATAGTGATACAGTTTCAAGGCACTGCTTGTTTGTGTAAACTTCCCTTATAACCCAGTGAAGTGACTCCCTCCAGCTCTGCGCTCAGCCTGCAGCGAATCGCGCTCAAGTGTCCCGAGAGAAGCTGCTCACTTCGCTTCCAGTGTTGCCGCCGTCCCCACTAATTTTATTGTGGAAAATTAACATCAGAAATTCACACTCATTACACTGAGATCAGTTACTTACTTAGGGTTGCCAACGATGTATTACAAAAATAAGGGACATTTCTTAGGACCCGCATCCACCCCCTCCTGACATTATTAATACTAAGCACTATACACCTACATTTGCCAGGGGTATTTCTTTTTTTGTAGCACTCAGCAAATCTGATCTTGTTGTAGAGAGATGTAATAAGGGACTGTTGGCAACCCTATGTTGCAGTAGAAGAACGAACCCCACAGCATTTTAAACTTGCAGCATGAATAATTTGTGTGTCCTCTTGGATCTCTGTCACACATTATATCCCACAGCTGGGGCTTGGCAGGCTGAGAGGTATGGCCTCGCTTGGTGTAAGAACTGGATGAACAGTTCAGATGATCCCCAAGAGAATACTAAATTTAAAACAGTTGTTTACCTTTTTATTGGCCTTCTAATCCTTGGTACAGGGATGTCAGAATACATCAGATTCTTGAACCATCTGTCTGGGATTCTGAACTGTCATTTTTACAGAAACCGCATCTGTTCTTGTATGAAACTCCCATTTCCTTGATCACTTCAGCTTCAGAAATACAACTCTGCATTCACCTAATGTACTGCATCTTCAAAGCACTGCACAAACACGAACCATCTCTCCCTAGAGTAAACCCATTTTATTGGGCGGGGGGGGGGGGAGGGGAGGGAACCTGAGGGACAGGTTGACTTGTACCAAAGTCAGACATGGAATTGGTGTCCGAGCTGAGACTAAATTTCACAAATTCAGTCCATGCTGCCTGTTTAGCTCCACACCAGTTACGTCTGGACACCTGGTGCATGTTTACATTGGAAATACATTCTATTATTTTCGGTAGACCTCTGAGATGCTGAAGAAAATCTGCATGAGGAACCTCGTGCGACAATATTGTCAAGGGATTACAGCTGAGAAGAAGGCCCAGGTAATATATGGAGTATGTGTGTGCTCATGAAGGGACGTGGTAGAGGACATTCCATCAGATAAGTCCTTTTCTTTAGCGAGTGGTACAAAGCAAAAGCTATAAAAGGTAATTAACTTTACATTTTATGCTAGCCCAAACAATGATGCCTTCTCCCCTTTGCAGTAGGAAAATAAATATTCGTGCTTTTCTTTGAGGGTGATGGCCCTGACCTTCCGTTGTGGGGTATTTTAAATACACAGTACTGTTCTTCCCCATTGCCTGAGCGGAGACCTGTGTAATAGGAATGGGACTATTGCCCATCACTTTTCAGAGGAACAGTGTGTGGTGTTTTTTGTTTTAATAAAAAAGTCAGGCTGGTTGTTTACTAAATCCTTGCAGTAGCAGCACAGGAATAAAGTAAACTGGGTGGGAGAAACGCAGCAAGTCGCAGGAACCCTGCACTAAGAGTGATGTCCTTCGCTCAGGCTCTAGTCTGGCTAGTGGGAAACTCGACTGGGAATAGAAACAGGTGGTTGGTTTGTTGGTTTGTTTTTTTTTGTTTCTTTTTAATAGTTGCAGCAAAAAGTAGTAGCGAGTGCCCTTTTCAGAGGGAAGAAGGATGGCTACCTGCAGAGCGTAAGCCAGCCCTTTGCAGACACCAGGCTAAGTGAGTATACAACAAACCACTTCACTCCTGTGCGCCTTACTCAATGTGGTCCCATTTAATATACTGGGCAACAGATCCTCCGGTCTGTGGAAGTTTTGCCTGAGTGAGGGCTATCCAGTTACTTCCTGTAGGAAGTGGTAGTGGTGGTTTCTGCTGACTCAGCTCTGGATTCCAGCGTCCTGTTGCTTATTATGGACTGACGCCTAAAGACCATCTGTTAGAGGAGACCTTTCAAATACACACAGTTGTAGTGTGTTTCGGTTGCGTTGGGAGACGAAGGTTTGGATGAATGGTGGGATGCTTTCTGAGAAGGAGCCCCCCTAGATCTCTGTCGAGAAAGGAGAGCTGGTTACTGAAGAAGTATCCGTGGGAGCTAGTCCAGTCCAAGCTGAGGCTGTACCCCTATGAGATCAATGGGGCAAGAGACAGGTAGATTACTATAAAATGTCCTTACTCAGTAAATGAATCTTAACATTGTGGGACAAATATTTCACAGGAACCCTTTCAGGGGTCCCTCTAAGTGAGGCCATAAAATCATGGAATGTTCAGCGTTAGAAGGTGGATGAAGCTTAATGAGATTAAAACAGTGACTGCAGAGGCTGGATCAATTCTGATGGACATGGTGGCACTGCACACACTTACATACCGTGTGGTACGTGTTTCTGGTTTGCTCCTTAGGTGAGAAAGAAATAAACCCCAAAGTACTGCAACTAATTCGTGGTGAGAAGGTCAAGGTAAGGAGGAGAAATCTGCGATTGAACAGCTTATCAGCAACATCTCACTGTCGTCACCCTCCCTCTTAACCAGGTCACTGCCAAGACTTGTAAATGTGCCAAGGTTAACCTTGTGACTTCAAAATCACAGCCAGTTCTAAAGGATGGTCTATGCAATCCAATAACCAATGTAGCCAAATATTTCCACACTGGCCAGACCTATCTCTGGGTTATAGGAGTTAACTTTAAAGTTCATCCTGGTGCTGCTTTTGAGTAAGTATGTACCTAGGAAGCTGATGAAACATGAAATTATTTATAGTGTAAAGGTTCTTTTTAAGCCTTCATTGGGGCGGGGGGGGGGGGGAGAGAGTTCATTGATCTGATCATGTGTCTGGGGAGTTCTTATGGGGCGTATTGACCTAACACATTAACAGCATCTTCAGGCTCTGATTGATTCTGTTTTGAGAATCCTGTAGATGGAGTGAGTGGTTGGTAGGGAATTCAGTGCTGCTTTCCTTTTCTGGGACGGCTGAAGGATGGAAACCCAACAACTTAATGCCCCATTATTGTTGTGCCTCTGCCAGCACATAACTGACTGTGATCTGCCCCCACTCACAGCAAAACCTCCCACCCCCAATTTCATAGCTTAACAAAACCAGTACTATCTATTTCAAGTGAATTCTAAGCAGGAGAAGGCAATAACACCCTAAATCTTGTCTTATGCTATAGTTCCCAGAATTTCAGGCCAATGTTGCCTGCTTCCTGAGTTGTCTCCATCGGAACCTAACCTCAGTGGGAGCTGCTAACATTCACATGTTGTTTCAGTATGTGACGCCAGTTGTAAAATACGACAGGAACGGGTTTAAAGCACGAGAACGGCAACTTCTTCTGACCCAGTCCGCAGCTTATGTGGTGGAAATGGCCAAGATCAAACAGAAAATAGACTATGCGACTCTGAAAGGTAACCGTGTAAGTCAGTGCTAGTTCTTCTTCTCTTGCAGAGGTCATCAAGGTCTTGGCAAAGGGGCAGAATGTGAAGAGAAAGAGGGCTTACCCCCTTGCTAATTCCTCCTCCCCTCCAGGTTTCCAACCCCCTCACCTGCTATTTAGCTTAGTGATTAAATCCTTTACACTTCTTGGTGGTTTGTAAAAAGATGTTCTCAAGCACGGAGGGTTATTGCTTCACTTGTTTCCTGCTGACTCGCTGAAGGATGACCACAATTCATCAGCTAATGCAGTGTGACCGCATGTGACCATGTGCCTGAGTATCAGAAACTAGACACTTTTCTAAACAACCCTACTCTACAGGTATTTTTCCTTTAAGTCTTACTATTGTCTAAAGGGTTCATTCAGTTCTGGGCTGAATTACTCAGGGGGGTTAGTAACTATATATCGCTACTCTTGTTTGAGAGAACACCCTTGATTCTCCATTACTGTAACTAACAAGCATCTCTTGGAGAGGAATCTTATTAAATGACCTGAGAAACCAGACCTCATCTGGGGAACAAATGTCAGGTCACTCCACTGATTGCACAGATCCTTTCTATTTATAAAAACCACTAATCTCTGTAGTAGAGTAGTAGTCTGTACCCATATATGTGCTGCATGCACATTTTTATTCAAGGTTGGGGAACTATATCTCTGTTTGTTACAGCAAACAGTACACAAGGCAAAAGGGATTAGCGTACTAGATTCTTCAGAGGAAATAAGAATTTCCAAACATCACTAAAGAGCAGTTTATGCACATGTCCATGAAACTGGCATAATTTGGAAAGGCATGGCTGCACATTCAAAGTGTGTGCGCTTTTTTTTTTTTTTAAATACCCCATTCTGGCAAGATAGTAGAACTTGTTGGAGGGGATGAGGGTTACACATCAAAAAATCCTTGATTATCGCTAGATAACAGAATATTTTCAAAATTAGCTGTTTCAATATGTTAGGAATTTAAAATAGGGGAAAAAAATAGGAAGCAATGTAAGAATAATGCCCAGGAATTGGCATTGATGCTTGTTTCTCAGCTGCTGTTGGAGCAAAGGTTTCTGGGAGCTGGTAAGCAGGAGAGAACCTTTTCCTCATACTTGAAAAGGTACAAATTCAGTGTACTATCCTTTTCTCCACACAAGCCACAGCTTGAGGGCCCTGATATTGTAAACAAAACCACCAACCTTCACCCAGGATGAGGATTGCGTTTTACGGTTATCTCTGAAAGTGGCTGTTTCTCTTGCTCTAATTTTTGGGTTCTTTTTTAAGGTATTTCTACCAGCAATCTGAGTGATGGGCTCTTGGTCATCCATGTTCCTGAGGACAACAAACAGAAGGTAAACTACCAGAAAGCTCCTAGTGAGCCAGACGAATGTGGAACATCTTCACATGAAACAACCAAGTCACTATAAATACCAAATACACTAGGGGCAGCATTTTACAAACCTCCTTATACAGGATCACTGGTTTGAGAGGGGGAAAAAATAACCATAAACTGTTACCTATCATTAGAAAATGTGTCGGACATTTCTCTGATGCCACTGCTAGGCCATTGTGAAAGTATTTCCCTACATTTACAAACGTTGTCTAGCTTAACTGCTGGTCTGAGACGAAAAGCTCTTTGCCCTTGTGCCTAAGAATGTTGAATTATTTTTGTCGCCATTTCTGCTTTTAGGGAGACGTGATCCTTCAGTGCGAGCACATCTTTGAGACCGTCACAAAGCTCAGCATGCTGGCCAATAAGCAAAACACTGTCCAAGTTGTTCAGGGAAGGTAAGCACCTGTGTTGCCATTCATGCTACATCTTATAAAGGGATTATGTGGCACTGAGCTCTCCCATTTAGTCAGCCAAAAATCTTTTGACCCAGCAGTCCACACCTACCTAATAATGCAATGTCCTTACGTGGTCAAAGGGCAGGATTTGGCCCTTAAGCTCATTAGGAGAGTAATCCGGAGCTTGGAGGTAGTTTTCAGGTAATTGTTTCACAGAACATTTCCCCAGCAGCAGCTGTGGTAGTGACTTCTTTGCAGGCTTAGTTAATGTAGGTGAACCAGGTATAGTGCTGCATCTGTTCAACAAGTGGACTATAGTGTATTAGTGCTGGTGTGAATGATATGGCTCCGTAGTAAATATGGGTTCCAGCATGTCTGTGTAGCTGGATAATCAGCTGTGTCAGTTTTACTTATAAAAGAGCTTTTAATTGCATAACTTTTTAAATGCAATATTTTTCAAACAACTGCTTCCTGCAATGGGAACAAGTCTGAATTATTTGACTGTCGTGTAGTCATCTGGGTGATACCCTGTTCATTTTGATTGAACATACTGCAAAGACAAGATCATGGAGGAGCCTTAAACTGCCAGCAGCTTAATGGTTGGGTTTTCTTTAAACTGAGCTGTGCTGACCCAATGGATAGACAGGATGCCAGCCAGATCACTCCAGAAAAATGCTGCTCTCAACTAGAGAGGAGCAGGGTCTGGAGACACTAAACACTGAGAAGAGGCAGTTTCTTGCAGATAACATCTGACTAACGCTACCAGCGCAGTATGTATTTAGGCCTTGTGGGCTTTCAGGAGACAGGGAGGTGATTGGTTTCAGTCTAGGATCGATACACATGGACTGCAAAAGATACGTTTTCCTGCTCTTTATCTTCCTTCTGATTCGGTTACTGTAATACAGCATTTACGCTTGTTCAGTCCGGCCAGGCCAGGCATGCTGCCTAATTTAGCTTGCTTATTTCCCCCCCCCCCTTCATTAGTGTGTTCTAGTAATCAAACGGCTGTTCTGGCTTGGTTGCACGTGTGCAATTGTTTAGAGAATTTATCTGTCTGAGGAGTTTTGAACTTTAACTTAATGAGATCTGCCTGGGGAACAGAACCAAAGAGGATCTTAGAGTAAAGCCTTAGAGTAAAGTAAGGAAAGCACGTAACAAGTAATATACATTTGTGTACTTGCAGCCTCCAGTTTCACATCAGTTCTGGGAAAGAAGGGATGATAGCTTTCACAACTGGGCAGGAGCCTCAGATCTATAAAGCCAAAAATGGACGCCTAACAGTGGTAAGACCTGATTTAAGAACTAGAATTCTAAGTTACATCTGACACGAACGCTCTTCACGTGGGTGACGTAAGTGAGCAGAGACTGCTCTGTTCATTTAGAAAACGGGACCGATCACTTCCTCTCGTTGTCTGTGCATTACAGTGTTGGGGTCAGATAAATGACTATGCTTCATCTTACTCAATAGATCTCCACTCTGTGTATCCTGAGTCCTGCCTACTCACCTTAGGGTACGTCTACACTACGAGATTAATTCGAATTTAGATAATTCGAATTTGGGAAACAGATTGTATAAATTCGATTGTGCGCGGCCACACTAAGCACATTAATTCGGTTTTTAACCACATTAATTCGGTGGTGTGCGGCCACACTACCCCTAATTCGAATTTACAAAATCGATTTTGGTGCTACTCCGCTCGTCGGGGTGGAGTACAGAAATCGATTTTAAGCACCCTTTAATTCGAAGTAACTGGCTCCGTTGTGTGGACGGGTTAAGGATTAATTCGGATTAACGCAGCTAAATCCGAATTAAAGTCGTAGTGTAGACCAGGCCTCAGTTACACATTCTTACGGTTGCTTCCTCCTGTTAGCCCTGCAGAGCCAGCCTGGCAATGGAGGGGGAGCTAGATTCTCTTCTGGCTTCTGCAGCAACAGACTTGTTCATCAGACTCAACTGCAGAATCTTCCTCTATGGTGGCAATGTGTGAGCCTACAAACACAGCTGGACTTTCAGGTCCCGGGCAGAGTTTGGTGGTTAGGAAGAAATAAGCAAACTTTACATGCTTTCCCTGAGAAAGCAAGAACCTCACAGTTCCATTGGCAGTTACTTTCCAGAGCACAACCATGTCTTTAAGGCACTATCAAGTCTCTAGAGACTGGTGGATAAATCCTGCCTCACTCTGTCTGGTACTAGGGACTTGCTTCTACCCTCTTGCTAGCATTTGGGTAGAGAAGAGCAGGAAGACTGACTAACAAGCCAGAGTAAAGGGAACTCTTCCTCCACCAGCCCAAATGTCTCATGGGCACCAGGTAGCAAATTAACACCATATAGTGAAAGGTAGGAGTGTCTCTCAGAAGCTGTTTCACAGGCAACTATGCCAGCATGTTAAGGAACACTTCAACTTAATTTAAAGCTGGCAGTTGGTATGTCCATGTCTTTTCTCCACTGTCTCTGGGTACCAATGGGTTTTTAGCCATAACTAAAGCACCTGGGTGCATCACTTTGCTGTCCTTGCTGATACCCAGAGGTGCATGTAGCATAATGTGCTTCCTGGCACTGGAGTAGTTCTTCCACACCATTCTCCCCAAAGCTGGAATGTCTGCACTGGAATAAAATAGCTAATAACGCCTTCCTTTTATCACAGGTGTCAACCAGAACAAAGTCCTGATGGTGAACAGGAATTCCTGCTTTGCTTATCACTATCTTTGCTCATAACAGAAAGGAACCCACTGGATGAGATCAGCACTGACATCTTCCAGCTGAAAGCTTTCTGCTGCCATAAGACTGTTGTGATTTGAGTTCACCTGCATCATTTCAGCTCTTTGGGGGTTTTTTTAAACTAAAGTTAATATTCTAGATTCCATTATGTTGCTGTAACATTCCAATTGATGTAGATTCTAGTTACTAAATTTCATAAATCTGTTTAACCCAAACGATGAAATTCTCTGATATGCAAAGTAGCTGTCTTAACTTACTGGGTAAGTAAAGTTAAGATCTTAACCCATCCAGGAAAGACTTTGAGCAAAAACAAAAGGGGTTGAGTAGGGATCAATGAGCAATTCATGGCACTAACCAGGAGTAATTCACAAACTGCAGGCAAATGTGGCAGTATGATCTGGAACCATCTCTGCCCCCATGAGAGACAGCCTAGACTTCACCCTGATGCACCAGAGACTAAGTGGGCAGAGTGAGTGTGCGCTCTGAACATTCTCTTTACTTGACTCAACATAGTACTAGATGAGGTTGCTTAGCTGGAAACCTCATTCACCCAGCTTTCTTTCTGGCCAGTTAGTGCCTATAGTAGACAGAAGTCTTCGAGTCATTCTTCATGTTTGGTATATTGATGGCTATACACAGTGCACTGTATGAGTACAAGGCACTGAAAATAGTAATGAAATGAAAATAAAAGATGGGGGGAAAAACATTCTTTGACTTTAAATTTAATTGAGCTGAAACAATAGAATGTAAGAATGGCCGTACTGGGTCAGACCAAAGGTCCATCTAGCCCAGTATCCGGTCTTCCCACAGTGGCCAATGCCAGGTGCCCCAGAGGGAATGAACAGAACAGGGAATCAGTGATCCATCTTCTGTTGCCCATTCCCAACTTCTGGCAAACAGAGGCTAGGGACACCATCCCTGCCCATCCTGGCTAATAGCCATTGATGGACCTATCCTCCATGAACTTAGCTGGTGGTTTGTTTGTTTTTTTTTAACTGTTAGTCTTCACAACATCCTCTGGCAAGGAGTTCCACAGGTTGACTGTGTGATGTGTGGGGAAAAATACTTCCTTTTGTTTTAAACCTGCTGCCTCTTAATTTTATTTGGTGATCCCTAGCTCTTGTTATGAGAGAGTAAATAACACTTTATTTACTTTCTCCACACCAGTGATGTTTTTATAGACCTCTATCATATCATATCCCCCCCCCTTAGTCATCTCTTTTTCTAGGCTGAAAAGTCCCAGTCTTATTAATCTCTCCTCATACAGAAGCCGTTCCATGCCCCTAATCAGTTCTGTTGCCCTTTTCTGAACCTTTTCCAATTCCAATCGGTTTCTGAACAAAGCGCAATCTCTTGACTTGCAGAGTCTTCAACTGTCTCCTCTCACTGAGACAAAACTACCTTCTCTAGCTGCTTAGAAAGTGAATCTGGTAGAGCAGTGGGTTGCATCCAGTTGTCTGCAGACGCCTGGGGGGTGGGGGGCACAGCAGATTAAGATTTCCAAAAGGGTCTATACCTCAATTTGAAAAATGTTTAGGGGTCCATAAATGAAAACAAGTTGAACACTGTTCTAGAGGGAATGAATGCAGATGCTGATTGGCCCCTCTTCTAGCTCAGGTATGTGTGTGGTGGCAGCTATGGGGGTGGGGGCAAAGTATTTTTCTTCCTTTCCCTCTTCCCCAGGCTCTGCAGATGTATTAAAGATAGTTCTTGCTAGCTCAGCGCTCCCTATGCTGCAAAGTATGAGGCAGGTAGTCCTCCACTTGCTCCATCAAAGCAGAGAATGCCAAGATCTGCTTGGGATGGGCTGAAGCCACAGACTGCATATCCTTGACTTGCTGCCTCTAAATCCTGCTACTGTACTGATGAAGGGGGAAGAGTCTGGATTAACCAGCTATTCAGCTACAATCCATCTCGGAAGGTAAAACAATCAACCTAGGGGGAGACTAGAATGTGATTTTTAGCTTCCCCTAAAAAAGCACTTGCTATGGGAGCCAGCCGGATAAGACGAGGGATGGTTTTAAAGAGAAACAACAATCAATAGGGATGTAAATATGAAACATTTCTAATTTATTTTGCATATAATCAAACCAAAATATAGTACATACTGCATACACAACCATACGTAGGAATCCAGCTTAAGCTTTTTGTGCATAGCTAAAGTTGGTGACTGTACAAAGCAGACGAGCTTACTAGTGCCACACGTTCAGTGTCACCCAGGGCGTGGAGAACACTCAGTGAACCAAGCCTTAAACAAGGGGCAGCTTTGAGCTTTGCTGCTTTACCTTAAAGGACAAGATATTTCCATGAATAAACTTGATCAGCTGCACTCTGCGTTGTCAGTATTACTGCTTGTAGTGCATGCTGGAAACCATGACACATGGGCAAGAGCCTGAAACAGTTATGCACTTCGACTTGATCTCTCACAGCTGCTGGTTGATAAGATATTGCTTGTTACCAACTGGGGGTGACCTTAGTTGCATAAACACTGCATCTCTTTTCATCTCATGAAAGTTGTAGAGGCAAAGGTTTTCTAGATGATCTCTTGGCCTTGCTGCTGCTGCTCAAAGAACAGCTCACCCTTGAAAAGAAAATGGTACTCTTAGGATGGTATTGAAAGCCTGTAAGTTAGTGAAAGGATCCCAAGCCAGCTGTTGTGTCAGGGGAGATCTATTTTAAAGCACAGTGAGGCTTGCACTAAGATTGACTTGCCAGTGTCTGTAAAGTATGCAGATGAAAGCTGTGTGCTAACAGCTAAGGGGTTGTATTCAAGGCTTCCAATACAATCTAAAAGCCACCTTTCTGCTGGTCTTCAGGCCCTGGCTGGTGGTTTTAATATTCTGCAGCATAATTAAGGCTTTGTTGAAACTTCTACCCTATTTAATAATCTTTGTACTATAGAGGATGCTTTGTTCCCTGCTGCTGCATGAGGGAGGCCCTCTGAGGTCATGGCCTCCATACAGGCAATGAGTTGTGGTCCCATCCATAACTACAGTCGGATCAGATCACACACTGCACATTATTTTCTAACAGACAAGACAATGGTACACTTGTATTGCATAACTAAGGCAATTAGAGAGCTAAACCAAGAATGTACTGAACTGCTGTCACAGTAACTCAATCCTTCCTTCTGACTAACATAGCTTTTAAAAAACCCTGCTCCTTTGCTTGAGCTGTGTTAGTATAACTGAACAGCTCTTTAGGAGGGGGAAATGCCACCTTTTAGTCTGATTAAAAAGGGCTGGGGAAAGGTGGTGTTTATAGAAAGCTTTTTTTTTTTGGTTAAATTGTACCACCAAGCAGTAGAAATCTAAGCCACTGTATTTATACTAAGCTCAAGGTGTAATACAGTCTTGTGTATTTCCTTCTTCTCTGGGCTCATCACAATAGAAATGGAAATGCTGTTAGCACTATACATTCCTGAATGAAAAGGAAGCTACCTATCCCCTGGAAACACAGCTCACTTAGTGCCATAGCAAAGACAGTGGGAGAGATTGGACCACTTGACAGAAAATGTAGATTTCATGTCACTCACTCCTACACAACTGACCAGTGAGCCCTGTAACCGTGGTGGGTTGTGCTTTAGTAAACAAGGAAGAGCTAAAAGTACAACGTATTGGAAATATAGAAGTGTGCAGTTCAGTAGAGGCTTTCCTCTTCTCTTCCTCCCCCCCCCTCCCCCCCCCCCCCCCCCCCAACCAAGCTAGGCTTGTAAATAACCCCCCCAACTGAACAATTGGGGGGGGAACAAAACAACTTCCTTCATTGTGACAAGAGTTTTAGAAATCAAAAATCACATGTACCCATGACAGACAAGCCATTTTCTGGGTCAGTACAGACTTGAGATTAAAATGAATAGCCTAGCTTAAACACTGGACCCTGGAAGGGCTTCTCTAATATTAGACAAGTGGGGAGTTATTACAGTATCTACATACAAAACATTGCTATGATTGCACTTTAAGCCCACATCTGTCAGTTACACACAGTGATAGTTCAAGATGCTAAACTGACTGTTTGGTTTGAAACTAGCTTTACCACAGTGACCTCATTACAGAAAACTTTACTACTAGAAAGTTAACGTTTGAGGATCTAGAAGACAAGTACTATAGACAGAACTGTACCATGAAAATCATCTTTGGCTGACAGACCATTGCCTCTGACAAGCAGTCTCCAAGGCTTGATGCATTTAAGCTACACAAGAGTGATGTACCATTGAATAAACAAGTCAAAATATTGATTGTCCAGTAATCCCTGCAAGCAGGTGTATGTATGGCTTTATACCATTCCTACAAAACATTACTTTAGAGGAGAAACATCTAGTGACACTAACCAAGATAGTAATACCTTTAAAACTAATATTCTGACAAATGCTAAGTGATATAATCAGGTCTATACTAATTTTACGGTATAACCATTACTTTTGTCAGACTTCCTGCTAGCCACATTACTGGAAAACCAGAATCACCAGACAGGTGGTCCAGCTAGTCCATCATCCAAACTCCAAGAGAGGCCAATACCATTCTGCATCAGCAGAAGCTGCAAGAAACTCTACAACAGAAGATGAGGGACAATCTGCCCCGTGTGAAGGTCTCCTTCAAATCCCTGAAGCATGAGGCTTTATATTCCTTCCAAAACTTAGAACGAACTAACTCTGGCTATTCTTATTTTTAATAGCATCCACTCCCTCTGAATAATATATGAACCTCCCCCATCACTTGTACTTGACTCTCTACTATGCAACAAGAGACTAGGAGGTAGATAAAACACATTATTTGCAACAATCTTAGAAAGTGTAGAGGTCTATATAGTATTCTATAGATTATAGTCATTTTCTTCCAGGTGGCCTAGAATATGCTGTGATAGAGACAGTGGAGAATAGCTGGAGATATTGACACTTAAAGGGATGTCCACCCATTTCTCCCCAGTATAACAGCACTAGAGGTGAAGCTCCTGGTATCCCTTATGGAACTCAAACTATGAGTAAATGTCTAATTAGCTCCGTATTTAGACTAGGATTACATGGTGTTAGGAGTAGCCCATGCTGGAATTATCTCGGGCAGCTCTAAAGAAAAGGCATTCCTGTTGATTCAGGAGAAAGCGGAAAAACAGTCATCTAGCATGAACCTTCAAATTACATTCTGGGTTTGAGAGGAAATGTTAAATGGTGACTGACTACAGTAGAAATCCTGGACGCCTTAGGGAAAATGTTATGCAAGTCTAGCTTATTCCTAGCCCTCCATTTACATAATGCATAAATATCTCCCACTCTTGAACCCCGCCATAAAGAAGCTGAGGGTTCTTCACTATTCCCTAGCATACCACTTTCACTGAACCATCACCACGAAGCTCAAGCAGGGGATGCCATAACCAGCTCACTTTAACATACTTCCTGAATTTTGAACTTGAGCCTGAGTAGCTGCCAGCACTAAACAACAAAAAATAGTCGCTGCCAACCAGCAAGACCTAGCCCCAGAGCAGGTCTGGTTCTGAAACA